AAAGATACCGATAGCACCGATTATTAGCACAAGAAAATAGTAATACGAAAAAATGATACAGCCTTGTTTTATATTTAATACAGCTCCTTAGAAAAAACAAAACAATTACTACTGAAAATGGGTTGATATTTATATTTCATATTTTTATATTTACTTATTTATTCAAAGATAATAATTAAAATAAGTAAATATTTGATAGAAAACAATTAATAGATACAGATGAAATTAAAATATCAATGCTGTATTACAAAAGATTACAATATTTAGAGCAATAAAGAATCTTTTCATTTAATTAATAAGTATTAATATTACTCATATTTAATTAATGCAACTAATAATAATTATTATTAAATCTTCCAAGTATTCAATATTTATTTTTGTTTTAAGACCCTGTATAAGATGAGTACACATAATCAGCCACCTCAAAATATAAACTCATCAATAGGTATTATCAAAATAAATGTCATTTAGAAAAACTGTTGATTGTCCTAAGTAGTTTACAACTCAATTTTCATAATAGTTTATAAACAGCTTATCAAATGCTTGAATCAAATAACTATAAACTTATTTTAATACATTTTTTTAATTAAAAGATTCTCGCAAATTTTTAATATAGATAAAACGTACATAGTAAATAAATATCATTCTGTATGGATTTATGCATATAAAAATTATATTTCAATTTAGAACATAATAAGTTATATGCATAATAACATTCCCAAAATATTTAACTATGCAAAAATATTTATCTCGAAAAGAAACTATTTAACAACAAAGTCTAAAAACATGTACCAAGCCAATTTAAAACTAAATAAACTTGTTATTATTCAGAAACATAATTTTTATTTGTAAATTAGTTAGCTGAAAAGATCCAATGTTTTTATTCTATTAACATGCTTTAAAAAGTTTATTAGTTGGTTACTACCAGCTTTATATTGTACTATTTTAGGAAAAGTGAGTTTCATCATTTTGAAAGCTTGTAGGCTAAAAATCAGAACTTGTCATCAACAAGAACCTCTTAGACATCATGAAAAATGGCTTCAGCATAATTTAATTAAAAACTATGCCAAAAACCGAGAACAGTGTAACTGATATCCATTTCTGAACTGTAGGGAATTCCGCAACTATCCTGATGACCTGATACCATCTTCCGAATCTCTAGAACAATTTTTTGAAATTATTAAAAAAAAAATCAATGATCTGCATATCCTCATTGCCACTGTGAAACCTTCTTTGTGACCAAAAACAATTATGCGATTTTGATCTTATTAGAAACAAAATTTTATTTTGCACTTTTGAGAAGTTTGTAAAAAAAAATTGTGAAATGATTTAAACAGATAAAAAAAAAAAGAATCTCTTAAATTTAAAACATAATAAGTAATATCCAAATAAGTAATATAAATTAAGTGTTTATTGCATGTAAAACAGTTACTGCTAAGAATAACTCAAGTGCTATTTCCAAGGTAATCTTCAAACAAAACAATGTAATAATGCAACTCTATTTAGAGAAGGGACACACAAAGATGGATGGGTGCAGACAAAATACATCAAACCACCTTACACAAACAAAACAAATACAAAATACACAAACAACTGATTACAAAGCAGAGGGCAGCTTGCATTGTATAGATAAGGTGCTTGACAAATCTACTTTTTTGAATTATGAAGAGCTACCTTCAAATCTGAACTCATTGCAGCCAGATCAAAAAATAAAACAACTAGGTGAGTGGGTGGTAACGTATATTGGAGCAACAAAATGCCTTGCAAGTGATGAAATTTTTCCCAGAACTAAACATTTGGAAAATTAGAGAAAATGTTTATTATTTCCAAACAGATAATCCTAATAAGTGTAATAAAAAAGTATCAAACCAAAAAATTTGAAATATAAAGCCTAAAGAAAGTAATTTGGAGAGCCAAATATCCTGGAGAGACCTCTTACTTAGGGGCCAAAATGGCTCAATCTATGAAAAAAAAAAAACAGAATTTTTTGCAGTCCTTTATGGATTATTTTATTCAATTTTTGGATTCTAAGTATAAATCTCAAATTTTGAGGGAGTTTTAATTTTTTTTTTCTTGGTCTATTATACAGGTTAATTATTTCAAATAATAAACAAAAAATAATTATAAAACAGATTTTATTATGGTTATTTCTATATTTTGTCAATAATTAGTATTTTTGTGTTGATAAAAGTTTTATAAATTAATAATATTTGTTAGGTATTTTACAGACATGTATTTTTGGACTTGAAAATGAGGTAAAAGACCAAAACGTCATCTGAAGTTTTATGAATAAAAAATTGTTAATAAAAGGGTTGTTTCTCATGGAAATGAATAGGTTTTTTAAATAAATTAAGAATATGTGTCAAACGTTTAATAGCCTGTATCATTGCTAATACTGCTAGGATTATGAATATTTTTATGTCTTATAAGGAGTTTAATTGACCAATCCAATGATCAATAAATAATTGACAAAAAGACAATGTATACTTTTATGTATGGGCTAAATATAAATAAAATTCTGTTTTCTTCATAATTTTCCCCTCTTATTTTTTTCAATATATACTTTGTGAAAATTTAGAAGGCTTTAAGAGGAAACTTTAGACAAGTTTCATCAAAATTATTGGGTTGTCCGAAAATCAATGCAGGATTTTGAATTTTCTTTAAAATATTCCTCTATATAACAAACCGTTTACATTTACTGGATCATTTTAATGAATGCATGTCGACACTTATTAATCCTCTTCCAAATGATAATGTTTGTTTACTTCTGAATTATTTTGCTACTTAGAAATAATTCAGTCTTTTTAAAGATTTTAACGCGTGATTTTCATATAATTTTGTTTTGCGAGTTTAAACTCAGAATGTAATTTTCTACCTTTTTTCCCACAGTTGATTTGAATGAATAAATAAACAGATGTTTATAAAAATTCCGTGAAATTACAAATTGAAGAAATTTCATACTTTCCTCCTGACCCTGAAAGAGTTTTAAACATATTAATTTATTGTATTAGAAGCTCTTCTCTTTCCATATAAATGTTCTGTGTATTTTTGAAATTTATAATTTGTGTATATTTAATAAAGCATTTTTCATTCAAATTATCATTTGGCTTATGTATAGTGGTACTAAAACATTTTATATTTTTCCTTAATATCCATGAATAAATCGCATATCATTTAACATTTTGAGAATAATAAATTGTGGATGGAAATATCTTACTATTCTCTTTTTAGGTGGACTTCATTAAAAAGTTATACCTCCATTAGTTACTAAGGACCAATTTAAGGAATAGAGTGGAAGAAAGGGGACAGCCATAAACCGACCATATTTATTTTATGACTTTCAGTAATAAAAAATTTCTTGGTAAGAAATATTATCGAATTTTGTTGTTTTATTGTGCCTTCAATCACCCAATTTTTTTTAAGATTAATTTACAAGACAATTTTTTTATAAACCAGATTTTTGTATGCCCTATTAAATCATGTTTTTGAAAATAAGGAGTTTAATAGCGGCAATGATGATATGAAAATATAGCATATTTTCATTAATCTAACCCAATTACAATATAGAGTGTTCACAAAAAATAAAAATAAATAACTAAAAATTACTAAAACATTCATTAAAAAAAAAAATCAACACTAATTAATGATTTTTCTTTGTTCCTGCAGGCCAATTTTAGTAAATCTAAATATTAATCATTTTATTGATATTTAAAAATGATATGACTGTTTTCTGTTAGAAACTCTTCAACTGTTTTTATCTCTCAAAATATGGAAGAGTTAACAACAACTAAAAATGGTCAAGCAACCACACTTTGACCACTTCATTAGGATTGTCCTGTAGATGAATAAACCCTTATTCTTCTTTGAGCCATTATTAACGTAAAGAGGTCTCAATCCATCAGAGCCATTCAACCTGGTCCTGACATATCCTCTTCATTTGAGCCAGATTTTCCCCTCTGCTTCCTCCTATTCTTCATAAATATTCCTCAAACAGAATTCTAGGACAACTTCAGCACTAGCTTCCATAATCTTTTTGGGTAATTATTCTTCATCCTTACAGGAAAAGTGTTTGGACTACTTAAGCTTTCATTTTCAAGGGAAGTCTTGAATTCTGTTATTTGCAGTTGATTTTGCTTATAAGCAGCCTCTCCTTGCTTTCCTAACCACTCTGTGCAGATATTTCATTTCTGCAATTTGGCTGATGAGCTTGTCAAGCATGACCAAACTTTCACTTCCATATGTAAGCATTTACAGAAAGGTACAGTTTTGTAAATCTGAAACTTACTTGCTTTCCCTATATTTCAGTGGTCAATTGTGCTATTTCAAATCTGGTAGCCTAGGTAATCAAACCTAGGTAGGTAATGGTCCACCACTTCAAGCACTAATCCGTCGCATATCACATATATGTCCTCTCATTCATGCCTGGACTCAGTAAGGACTTTGCTCTTGGCCGAATTTATTGCTATTCCTTTCCAATGGAGCTCCTTTTTCCATTTAATTAGTGCTTGCTGGAACTTTTCCCTTGTGTCTGGCAGAAGAAATAAATAAAAAAAAAGGAAGGTCAGAATCTCAGTCTCACTGACAATGAATATGTAGCATCTGTCAACTAGATCGGAATCCAGCTTGTTTGGGCAACCAAAAGAAGACTAAACGGCCTATAGTTTTTGCATTCTGTTGCTCTATCCTTTATATAGATGGGAATTACAATATTATAGTTCCAAAACAATGCTAGGGACGAAGGAAAATAATCAGAGCAGACAAAAACAATCCTCATCCAGAATCCCATATTTCTTGAAACAGTCCTTGAAAGGGCTTTCTAAAATTCTTGGCCACCATACGTGAATTCAATGAATAAATCCTTTTCATAAATTGATAAATTATTATGACTTATAATATCAAATTGAATTACCTATAATAAATCCTATTGTTAACTAAATTATTAATAAAGATTTGACTCATAAATTTAATGACTCTCATAAAATATAATTTTACCTCAAGCATCACTGAACCCATGACGCAGGTACCCACTGTGGGTCTGTTTCAACTGATATAGCTATTCTAACGAGAGATTCAAATGCAGAAGATAAATCGGCATTGACGATTTCTTCATCAAAAAAGTGTGAAAACATGAATTCTATCCTTCTACCACGATGAATCATTTCTCTTAATTCATCATCCTAAAATAAAAATATATATGCATCTTATGTCAAGGGCTAAAAAATTTCAAAAATGAAAAACAAGATACTTCTAAGGCAAAATTAGCATTTCAAATTACAGTTCTAATTTAATGAATATTTATTACATTGTTTTTGTTATGTCATATAAAACAATTAATATTAAACTACTATACAAATTTATTAAGAAAATATTGATCATGGTTTAATTTACCATTACAATATATTTTTTCATGTTACATATAAATTAATTAATTAACAAAAATTATATAGATTTTTTAAAATATGTTTAGCAGGTCAATCTCTTTTTTTTGTCCTAACTGAGCTCATTGTGGGCAAAATTTACTGTTTGCAATTGTTAACCATTGGTTTAATATCTTTCCTATAATACAAGGGTTCATTCTACCCAATCATGAGCTCATTTATGAAAAATAATACACCATATAGACCAGCTAAATATAAATAAATATTACAAAAATATTAAATATTAAAAAATTAATTTAAGAAGAAATAATTTAAGGATGAATAAAAAATATGAGTATGATATGGAAAAAAAATGAATATAATGTGTGGCTAAATTATATCATCATAAAAATTAGATTAATATAGTACAGTAGAATCCTGATAATTAATTCCCCATATCCATGGTATTTTTACAGATTTGGTGGTCCTAAGAAAACCTCCCTTTAATTTGTATTTTAAAAAATGGAATCTGATCCCTTCAATAATTCGTGTTTATTTTAATTTTTTAGGGAAGTGAATATTTTAGAATTTAAATTTCCAAATAAAAAATCTGACTAACGCTTTGAAGGGGCATGGAGAATGAGTGAGAGGGGAATATGAGTGAATGAATTTAATTTAATTTAAAAATTTCACACGAATACAATACTTTCTCTGCATTCCACAAACAGAAAATTAAAAATTTAATTTTTGAAATTCCTCATTTAAAAGTTAAAGATATTGCAAATGAAAGATCTGAGTTTCTTAGCAATGACTGCATGATTATTTGAAGACATTATCATATTATAACTGTATGAAATAATATCTATCTACTCTCATTAGCCATGAAAAATAACCATTCAAGTAATGGACGTTAGGCTAAAATGGCTAGTTTCTGAATTATATTACTTGCGTAAATGAATTTAAGTTAGTTTAGGTAAAGTTGAGGTTTCTCTCACCTCTCCGAAATTGAACTAAGGATAACGCCAAAACTTTTGCAGAAAAACGGGAAATAAAGACTTTTGTACCATTTATGGTAAGTCTTATTGTTTAGAAAAAATATACAATATAAAATTTAAGAAGGCTACCAGGGAAAATGCGAGTATCACTAACGAAGTTTGTTGAGAATGGAAAGATGAGTTGGGAGAAAAGATCAATTCATGAGCCAAGAAACATTTTTTATTTTAGGAAATCATAGTTATTTGAATACCTTGATAATTCATATTTCATCTTTAGACTCCAAATAAATAATGGATATTTTTGCTCCATCTTTTGTCAATTCAAGCAAAGTTTGAATAATAGTAGAAGGTTGGCTGTTAGTGTGAATGACCAGCATTGTGAACTTATTTTGTCACGGAGTTCATTCTACATCATTTGTCACGTATATTATCGACAACTTAGAAGAAAAAGAGTTTTAGAAAAATCATAAATGTTCATTGACAGAAATAAGTATCTTTAAAGTAATAAAAATAAGTAAGTTAAAAAAAAAAAATTACCGTAAAACCTCGAGAATTTTCCTTATCAAAAGTAGATCTAGCATATGCGGCAGTGCGAGTTTCTTTGAGCGTGTCAAACAAAGGCGGTTTGATGTAAATAATGTAAGGCTTGATTTGGGCTGTACGAATCATCTTCAAAGCCTGGAAAGAAAGCCAACATGTTTCATAATATATTTTAATTCATATCCATAAAAAATAATTTTTAGCTTGATAAAAACAGGAAGAGCAGGAACATTATATTTTCTAGTCATATTATATGTCTTTAGTGCTACATTATTATTTATTTTTTAAATGATTTTTGGCCATAAGTCAATCACATTCTTTTTCTTTAACATCTGATTATTATTGCCAATGTTTTGGCTTCAAGAACCATTTTCAATTTCAATCACACACTGTTAAAAATGTGTTCAGCCAATAGAATATTAAAATATTTCAATTTTAGGAAATCATTAGGTAATTTGCATGGATATATATTAGTATAAATATAATTTATATAACTTCAAGTTACACAACATAATATTTCAGGTTATAAAAATGTATTCCATTTGTTGAAATATAAATATAATAATGGAATCAATTATTATAAGAAAATACATTAGACAATCGATAACCAACAAATGGATTTATACAATTTTTTTTTAAAACTATTTATTCAAGATAATGTAGATTTACAACTGTATTACAATACAAATACATCGAGTAAATGTGTACACAGGAATATAATCACATGAAAACGCTTGTTGAGAAACTATATACTTGTAGCACTATAATAATATGTCTATATAAGGAGATCACGAGGCCATCTTCTTTTGAGACCCCTTGGAGAGTTATCAGGAATCAAAGTGGAAGCAAGGTTAGAAATGAGAGGATTCAGATGGTTATGATGTTTATTATGGAAGGATAGGTATCTGGATTGGCCCAAATCGGAAACATATGGAACATTAAAGTCTTTATGGATTATTTTATTTGTGACAAAGTAAGGAGAATTGAGGATTTTGGATTGTAAGGACTGGATACGAGAAGAATTTGATGGTTTAGTGGAGCCCCATAGCTCAACTCCGTAAGTCCAAATAGGTGTTATTATTGTCATATATATGAGTCGTTTGTAATTGATTGAAAGCTTAGAGCGTTTGTCTAGTAACTGTTGGAGTAGTCAGAAACGTCGAGCAGTTTCTTGTCGTTTCAGTCTTGTATGAGGATTCCAAGTGAGACGTTCGTCCAGGTGGAGTCCTAGATATCGGATTTGTTCAACACTGATTAGTGGGGTGTTATTAAAGGATACTGTAGGACAGAAAATCATAGGTTTACAACGAAGACAATCTAAACACATTTTCTATATAAGCTCGATTGACAATGTTAAAATATAAAACATAAGATGTAAGTATGAATATTTGCATTTGCTTGGTTTTATGTGAGTATGTATGATGAATAAAAGTTCAAATGAGTATAAATTTGGGTAAATAATTAATGAATATCTCTACTCAAAGTATATATAAAAATTCTAACAAGGGGAGGTTACAGTGTGGGGCCACCGATTTCAAAGAAACTTTTTTTGGTGATACTAGGCCGAAAAATATTAGAGCCATGTCTGAGGGTTCTTGCCAATATGCCCTAGGAGACGAGAAAAAAAAATTGAGAAAAAATTCGTGCCATTTTTATGAATTTTACACTAAAAAAGTACTCTCAAACCAGAAATTCTTTATTAATTACAGCAGAAACTATATGAAACTCACACTCACAGCAACAGTAACCATGTTTATCAATTTTCTAACAATTGTTATTATAACCTAAGTGCAATATTTGGTAGAAAAAGAAAAAGAGTTTTACAAGTTATGAAAAATAAAATTATTAAAACTTTGAGGGGCAAGAATTTCAAAACCCTACAAAGATTTTTTTTCTGCCAATTTTAGCACCAACACTTTATCATTAACAGCTCCACAACTAGGAGAGAAAAATTAATCGTTAGAACTCATAGGGAGAGGCCTCAAAGAAAATGCAAAAAAACTGTAACTATGTTTCACACAAAATTTATATTTTATATTCTTTTTATGAAAACACTGTAGATTATAAGCATCATAGATCATGCATCATGTTTTTGTAACCTTTTGAATTTGATCGATATTAGTGTACATTATTCATTTTTGAAAATACTGTCGGATTTCAGATCGTGCACAAAGTTTGTGTAACTTTTCAGATTTAATAGATAAAAGGATCCATTATAACTATGCCATGGGCGCTTTTTATTAAAATACAGTTGGATTTGATATTGCCCAATTGCTTATCAAGGCTTTCCATAAAAAGTGACCTCCGACTATATTGCCCCCATGATAATGTACCCTAATATCAAATTAATCTGAAAAGTTACAAAAACTTGATTGATGATTGCGCAATCTTCAATTCGACAGAATTTTCACAAAAAGTATCCACTAAAAAATAATAGCAGACCCTAATATTGATTAAATCCGAAAAGTTAGGAAGAAGCAATTTTAAAATAAATTTATATTGTGCAATTTAATTTTATTTTATTTTTTTCAAAAACCTCTCTTAATAACTTAAAGAAACCTTACTTTTTTTTTTTACAAAAATCTAAATTCAATTTTTTTTATACATTTATGCAAGAATAAATGATTATTCAGTGAATTTTTTCATTGAATAAATTTATAATGAATGCAATCTCTGAACTCTATTATAAGTGTCCTTAAACTGTGACAAATTGTAATATTTCTGAATAAAGTGTTTAATTTTAAAAATTTATATTCAGCGGATATTTTCTAAGATTAAATATTTATTCAGACATATGTTTATTGAATAATTTGTTTTTTCCAATAAAAATATTGAGTGATTCAGAACTATAGGTTATTCTATGAGTTGTCAATTACTAAACATTTATTGAATAAATTATTCGAATAAAAATTCATTCAATAACACTCGACTATGACGCCCATTTGGTATATGCTAGGAGTTCGGAGTTGACATATTTACTGCCGGACAGAAGATTTAAAATGTTCTTTATTTAAATCATTAAAATATTTTCAAGTTATCTTTCTGGAATGAAATGGCATTTCAAACCCGGCATGTTTGACATATTATCGTATAAATTATTGGGCACATGTAGTATTGAGCCACCTCCTTCATAGAACAGTAAAATTAGGGATTGACCCAAACAACCAAAAAATAAAAAGATAAGACATCTGAAAATGTTCATTACCTTCCCATAACTGGTAACATTCCTAAAGTTTCCTGCATCGGATTTTGTTGGAGAGAGGTGAAGAATGATAGTGTTTAAAAATGAGACAAATGTAGTAAAGGTGCACAGTAGCAAAAAATAAACAAATTTAAATTATATTATATACTGAATTATGTTTTACAACTTTAAATGGTATATTACAAGTTTAATGATGTGTTAAAGTTGAAATATTTTAATATTATATTGACTAAATTAATTTACATTGTGTACTTTAAAATTGTTCTTGGAGTTGTAACATAAGCAATAATAAAAGGACCTTAAAGAAAAATAAAGTTTGCGAGTTTTGCCAAAAATCATTTAAAAAGTAGAGACCATTGTAATTTGGTTCGTATTTGGATACACACCTGATAATGTGGACTAAGAATGCAGACATAACCTGCATTTATTAAAGAAAGAACACTTTCAACAGAAGTTCCATACAGATTTCCTTTATATTCTCCATATTCAATGAATTTCCCAGCAGCAACATCCTCTTCCATAACTTCTCGTGAGACAAAGTAGTAATCTTTACCTTCTATTTCACCAGGTCGAATACTTCTGGTTGTAACTAGACAGAAAAGATATTCTTATATATTCCACAATATTTATAACGTAAGGATAAATGAAAATGAGGATGAATAAATTATTTTCAAATTCATAGAAAATTAAATTAATTTATTATTAGGTAGTCCGGAAAATAATGGAGAATTTTGGTTTAAAAAGAAAAATTTACAACTATTTAATAAAATCAAAATAGTCTCTACTACTATCAATACATTTCCGCTAGGGGGCGGGGTGGCCGAATGGGCTAAAGCGTGTGCACAGCTAGACGAGTTGCCAGGTAACCAGATAACATAGATTTGAGAGATTAAAAAGTACGAGTTCCGGTGCCGGAGGGGATTTTTAATTTCCCGCCCTCACCCTCCAGCCCCGGAAAATCCCGTATAGCCTAAAAGGCGAGGTAGCAAAGAACAGGAAAAAGAAAAAAATACATTTCCGCCAACGTGTTGGCAACTTTTCTGTTCCCTCGTAATAGAATTTTCCATCATTAGAATTGATAAACTCCAAAAATGCATTTTTTAATTCCCTTTCTCCATCAAATTTTTTATCACGTAAGTAGTGGTCCACGTGTCTAAAAAAATGATAATCCATAGGTCCAGAAAATAGGACAAACATGGCAGAATTTCATATCCAAGCTCAAACAGTTTTTGTAACATCACATGTAAGACAAGTGGACGGGCGTTGTCATGCAACAAAATAGGTCAAAATTGACCAAAGATGGCTTCGTTATTGCCTATTTCAGATGCATTGCATTAATTTGGTCACAATACAATTCAGCATTGATGGTTTCTCCAGGATTTAAGAAGCTGTAGTGTATCAAACCAAATGAATCCCACCAAACAGCAACCATCACCTGTTTTTGATGAGTTGGGGGATTTGGTGTAAACGTTCTGCTGCTTCTCCTTTGTCGAGCCACTGTCCAGAATGTCTACTGATATCATAAAGTATTCAGTTTTCATCACAATTCTGGAAAGAAAAGGGTAGTTTTTGTTTAGACAAAGAAGTGTAGCACAAACTTTATAAAGTAGGTTTTTTTGGCAGTCATTCAATGTGTGTGGAACCCAACTTTCAAGCTTTTTTATCTTTCTAATTGCGGCAAGGTGATCATTGACAGTCGATTTGCTAAGGTTAAGTTTACCTGCAAGTTCTCGAACAGTTGTTCTGGGGTTTTATTCTACCAAAGCCCGAAGAACATTGCAATCAAGACAAGAAGTCCCTCCACGACCTTCTTTTTCTTCAAGGCTGAAGTCTCCCTATTGAAATTTTTGGAACTAATGTTGAACAATGCACTCATTCTCGCCCCAGACTTAATTGATGTTTCTCTGGCCTTCTGGGCGAGTTTAAGCACGTAAAACAAAATTTTACGAAAATCACATGTTGACATCTTAGTTAAGATTGAATTATTTCTAAGCACCGAAATGCTACAGAGGTGAACATTACTGTTTGGAAGAGATGACATTCATACAAATGAATAATCCAGTAAATGTAAACAGTTTGTTATATAGAGGAGGATTTTAAAGAAAACTCAAAATGATACATTATTTTCTGAACAACCCAATAGTTTTTACATTGTTACTTGCTTATATTTATGTAAAATCCTAAAAATAAGTAATCTAATTGTAAAATTTGATTCTGGAAATTTTAGTTTATTTTAGCTCTCCTGATCTGAAATCACCTTGCAAAACAAAAATGTAAAATATACGGGACATGTAGTAAACAGTGACTATTGTTATTTAATGAATTTAATGAGATATTTTCAAACATTGGTAAAACATAATTAATAAAATATAAACTAGACTTTAAATTTATTTGTTGTCCAACTTTGTATTTATTAGTTAAATAGATTAATTTATTTGAAAAAGAGTGCAAGTTAAGGAACTGATAGTACTTTAGTAACAATAAATAATTGTAATTTTTCAGAAGATATACATTTATTTTTATCTGAAACCGAATAACACAAACATATATGTAAAGTTTGCTACATAAGTGGGTGATGCTAGATCATCAAACATCTTTAAAAAACTGTGTTAGTTTATTGGTTAAGTCATTTACTGTGATTAGCTATCTTCGAAATATATATATATATATATATATATATAATATATATATATATATATAATAATATATTTATATATTTATATATATTTTCATCAGAATAACATGACTTAAAAAAAATATTAAATATTGCAATACTTACATGGAACAGGAGATCTATATTTACTAGGATCGGTAGAAATCAACCTCCGTTTAAGTTCATTGCGCCCAACACCAGGTGGTCCAACTAGAGCCAATGGCCTGTAGAGCCCAGGACGAGGGTACAACTTAGCCACTTCTTCGTATGTAGCCACCTCCTCACGCATGAAGTCGTCTGCTTCTGTCAGATCATAAAGGATCTTTTTAATTTTTGGTGGCCTAGAGCAGTGCGATGTTGAGGAGCAAGGAGACGGAAGGAGCCGCTCAGCTCCTACACACTTCACTCCAGTGCATATTTCGCCCTCTGCAAACCACTCTGTCTTTAGTCTTTAAGTACTCAACTGAACAGCAAGAAAGGATAACATGCAAAACATATATACATGTAAAACAATACAAAATAAATAAAATTATCATGCTGTAGCAACATTATCTTCATTAGTAGTGCTTTATGTACATTATTAAAAAAACAAACAAAAAAAACTGTAATTATAAGATTATAATAAAAATAAGTGGTAGTACGCTAAAAGAAAAAACGTAATTTCAATAATAACGATGAAAAAACAATACCTATCTAAATTATAATTAAAAAAAAAAAAAAAAAAAAAATATATATATATATATATATATATATATATATATATATATACATATGAAGCATTCATACGACAATAGTTGGATAGATGAACAATGGACCACATAGTTGAACTTTATGAATTAATGCTTAATAAAAATAAATAGACCATAGTGCACTTATGTCATAGAAGAAGGAGAAAACAGTTTATTTATGCAAGATATTTTAATCTTAATGAGCCCTCTTCAATAAAATGTTCTTTTAGTACAAAAGAAAATGACGTCTCTGAACTTCTGGTTTTTGAAATCAATATCCTTTCTACTCAAACACGAGTTAAAATTTTCAGTCGATTCTACTAGAAATGTTCAAAAATTCAAATTTTTTAGTCAAAAACAAGATAAACAAGATTAAACAAGATTTTTGATAAAATTATAAACAGTTATATTATAAAATTTTAATATAATTATAATTCTAAAAAACACAAACACGCACACACACTCTCATGTACTTTACTTTGTTAATATTGGGACAAAATTAATGCATCACTTTATGAATAAAACAACTACCCTATAACTTTAGTTATTTAAAAGGATATTAGATGGATATTAGATTAAAAGGATATAACAATCAGAGTATGAGCATAGTTTAATTAGAATAGGAATAATTCCTGGCGTATCACTTTATCTCTTTATGATTATTTTAGTCACTATAATGTCTATACCAGCCTGAGGAGGTTTTTTTACTTTTTCATTTTTGTCCTATTTGAGCTATTAATTCCATTGAGAAACCTTGAACCAGTGCTGCCAGTTTTTCTAGTCCTGCTCAACTGCTTCATTTCAGCAAGAATTTTCCCAATCCTCTAAATATATTCCTGACAGAAGATCCTTGGTTGGCTGCATGGTCTTTTACGGTAAGCTGTATGTCCAGCTTGCTTTATCATTTTGAGTTCTTTAATTTCTTCCATTCGACAAATGAACAACAACAAAAAAGATGTCTTCACTGCCAGTCCTAATTTGATTTTATATAAAGATGGTGTTTTTTTTTTCTGATTCAGTGGCTCTGAAATAGCAGAGTTCATTAAAAAAAAAAAAAAAAAAAAAAAAAAAAAAAAAAAAAAAAAAAAAAAAGCATCACTCTAACAAAAGGAAATCATATTTGATAATTCTTCAAGAGCTCTTGTGCCGTATTAATGTAAATACCAAGTGTAAGTTTACCTGCAGGCTCCATTTCCATCACAACACAAATTTTTAGATTCTATGATGCTTCAAAGAAGGAAGTAGGTTCACAATTTAGAAAGTAAAATCAAAAGTGACTGGGTCCATTAGCAATTACTATGACAGGTTTGTTTGTATTCAGGCCTTCAGGATTATACTAGAACTAGTAATCAACACAGAAGAACACTATTCTTCTTGCTGTTTGTTAACTGATCTAAGAACAGTAAGTAAATACACAAGGTAATACTCTCCATTCAAAGCGTGAAGAGAAGACTGAGTGAAGCCAAACTAAGTGCCAGACACATTGCGTGTGGCCCTCTTCCCATCAGACTCCACAAAAGAAACTCAGAGCGGCTACAAGGAATTGCAGTAAAATTCTCTAACATTTCCCAATTAAATGATAGTTATCCCTGACCAATATGTCTGGGGACACAAATATTAAAAGTGTATAATTTATAAAGGAAGGAGATGGTCCGGGGTGGCGGTCATAAATAGGCTAAATAGTGGCAAAACTATTTTATTAAAATCTAAGGTCTTCTTCAAGAAGGTGTGTTCAGCTAGGAGTTTGACTTAGAACTCAAGTTTAGTTCTAAGTCAAACTCCTAGCTGAACATACCTTCCTGAAGAAGACCTGCAAAGTCGGGTCGAAACGTTGGATTTTAATAAAATAGTTTTGCCACTATTTAGCCTATTAATGACCGCCACCCCGGACCATCCCCTTCCTTTATAATGCAACGGTCAACTGTCAAATATTCTGTATAATTTATAACTTATTTTATTTATTGTACAAGAAAGAAAATTGACTACAAAATTATTTGAGTAAAAATCAGCCTATTTAATAACAAATATAATGTTTTAGAGGAAGCATTTTTTAAGCTTGATTTTCTATAAGAATTTTCTATTTTAGAAAACTAAACTTTTAGTAATTTATTTTTTATCGCCTTTATTTTATTTTCATAAACTGAGAAGAGGTAAAAGTTGATACTATTATAAAATAAAGTAAGCTATGGGAGATTCTAATATTAATGAAGTTTCTCATAAGTAATTTAGTTTCTTTATTACTATAAATTGTGTAATAATCATCCATATGACACCAACTGTGACATTTCGTGTTAATAAATACTCTTTTAAGAAGCACCACAGGTTGAACGAGTGAGTGCTAACAAGCCAATAAATCCCACCACCGTAGCCACATGAATTTACTAAAAATATAATGTAAAACAAAATTTAATAATTATATAGGTATCTATCATTTGCCTATATTAACTGTCACTCCCCACTCTTTGCGTTAAATTCATATTTCTGTTTAGTACTGTAAAAGAATATGGAAAAATAAGAAGTTTTTCCTTAAAACAAAAAATTCCGTACAACGTGCCTACAGGAGAGGGGAAAGTCCAATAGTAGCCTGGCTTAAGAATTAAATCTAAGTCTTCCAACAATTTGAAAAATCCCAAGTCTATTCGAGACATCATGCTGAATCATTTAAATCCAAAAAATGACAACTTACCAACAATGAAATTCGTCTTTCTCAATACTCCGCAATCAGGGTTAAGACAGACTTTACTCAAAAGAACTAACAAATACATATAATCAATTCACGGTACATTTGATGAACTTCAAACTAATATATTGTGAAGATGGATACAAAGATTCTGTTCCCGACACAATACTGTTTTTAAAAAATTAACTGTGAAGCTGCGTTTTCTTTCAGTTAACCAACGAATGGAATTAAGTTTAGCAGGCAGTGAGTGAGAATTATCATGATGCTGACATATTCAAAGTGGTGAAACACAATTTTTTAAAGAGTAGAAGTTCGACCAGACTCTACATTGTAAGATCGAAAATGTTCTAATGGATGTTTATCTATAGACAGAATTACCGTTAAGAAGTTCATTACTTTATAAAAAAAATGTACATAGATGTGTACATTACAAATATTAAATAGTCTTGATATGTTTTTCTTTTTAAAAAAATACTGTTTTAAGTCCATTTTGCTTAAATTTCATTCATTACCCTTTTTTGATTTGAATATAATGACCAGTGCCGTTATCGACAGTCTAAGGTGGATGAATACAGTGACCACGGTTGGTTCTAACAACGAAGTTTACTCCTTCAAGGTCATTATAAACGATATCCACTGTATATTAATTTCCAATTTTAAAAAAGTACATATGTACTTAAAAAATTCCCAGACTTTAACAATTTTCTCCTGTTTTGAAAATTCCTTGACTTTTTCCATTTTTCGAGGTCGGTCAACACCCTGAAACTGATTTGAATTTGGGCACAACATATCCATAAGAATTTAGAGGGATGGAAGTGGGTCATTTTTACTAATGATGTGGAGTCTTACGTTATCAGATGGCAGATATTTGATTTGTAGACACAAATATATACAATATGTTCAGCATGGTATGGTCCTGCTGATAGCATTTCAAGAATGTTTATCATTATTATATATCCTATATCATTGTTATTATACATTCTATATAAATTTATATTTCCTGGTAAATCATTACAAAACACTGTCACACAGAACTTAGGATACCCTAGGAGGCTAGTTATCGTTTAACGGCCATTAAAAAATCTAGAACTTAATCTAATGGGGTATGTTTGGCTAATGTTCAATTTCAAATGATACATTAATTTTGTCAATTACTCTATACAACAAAAGTAAAAATAAAGTAATAATGACCAATAAAAGAATCCAACATGCAAATAAAGAGTAAAAAAAAAAAAAAAAAAAAAGAAACGTGCACTTTATTTGCTATAAGCACAATATCAGTTGTGAATTTTGAAAATGTAAGTTTTTCTTATACATTATTTCTTTAACTAATTGTTTCTCTCTATTGATGATTGATTTTAATCTGATTTTTTATAGAATCTATTATTTTAATATATTCTGTCCGAATAGGGCTAGTTAATATTTAAATATATCAGCAGATCTTAATTTATTGTTAATCTGAAGTAAAGTTATTAAATATGTTTTCCCATCTATAAACACTACTTCATATTTTTTTAGTAGTATGCAATTCTTCATGTCTTCCCCCAATTAACAAGAATAAAATAGATTTTTAAACAATTGCAGTGATGCAATTTGGTGAATCATATATTTTTGGTTACTCACAAAGTTGCATCAAATATTTTTGTTTGAAATAAATTTTTAAAAAGTTTCCATTTAGTTTTGATTAAATAATAAAAGTAGAAACTCAAAATGTGTATTTCTATTTAAAACTCATATTGGCATTTTTTTCTTGATTGCAATACTTTCTCTTACAATATATTTCACAAAAAGATAACATAAGTGAAAGTAAAAAAATGAATTCAACTTTTTAAAACATATCATTCCGAAAAATTTGGTAAAAATTGTAATATTTGTTATCATTCCTATGTTTTCTAAAAGCTTTTAATGATTTCGGTATTCATAATAGACATAATTTTGATCTATATGAATTTTAATTTCCATATTTTGTTATCTATATAATCGATTATTAATTAACATCTGAATTAGCACACACACAAAAAAAAAATATTAAAAGTAAATTTTTTTCGACTTGATGATCAGCAAAAAGTTTTGTCATGCATTTCTTAAATGTGTATATCAGGTAGTACTAAATTTGTTTTTTCATTTTTTTACTTCTTTTATATTCAGAGATTAAGGGCATTACAGAAACTACCTTGTTATTCACATTTCTTATTTTCAAAATTCACAAGTGATATTATTCGACCAGCTGAAAAAATTCACACAAAATGACAGCAATTAAAGAATAAAAGCTTTGTATAATATTAAAAGACACACATCAGTCAGTTAATGACAAATAAAAATTTCCTATAAGAACAAACAGTTTCCAAGTGCTGTCCAGTTTCGGGTTTCACAAGTGAAAAAAGATGACAGAGGTGGTGCATACACCAGAGAGAGATGAAAAATATATAATTAATCACTGTAAAAAGAATATACTTTTAATTTATCAATAGGTAACAGAGCTTTCATTCCATGCTTAAAGATATTATTTAAAGTGTTGAATATATAATTTCAAGATTGTACAATAGTCTAATAAGCCAAGTTCAAACAAACTAGGCTTGCAATGAAATAAATTGTTTGTATAAACAACAAAAACAATTCATAAGACTAGAAAATCCAAAAGTAGATGACCAAACTGAAATAGTGAAAACTGTCTAATGAATTACACTAAGAAACATAAAATATAATATTTCTGAAACTTTTTTATCACTATAAATTAAAATATGAGAATGAATTTTATTAGCAGAAAATGAAAAAAAAATATTTTCAATATAAAATTGAATTAATTTGAATTTGAAACAGAGTTTCAATCTTTATCTCTCATTTTGTGAACTAGATTTCGTGATTATTATTGTACATATAGTCATTCAGTATTTCTTTAACATGTAAATATTTTCAATATTTACGCAATCAAATGGTGTGAACTGCAACTTGGTCAACTTCTTAGTGAAACAAAAATTTAATACCTACCCCTTTAATGTTTTTATCTCTTTAAACTGAAGGTAGTATCATTACAGTTTTCTAGTGAATAGTTTACTGTTTTTTTGGCAATTTTAATTACAAATTAATTTTTTTCTTTTTTGTCATTCTCATCAGGTATGCTTTTTAAATCAATTTTTAAGATATAGTAGTATTTTGCACCTTCTAAAAGCTTTGACTAATTCCTTTCAGAATAAAGCCTTTCAAGTAATTTAAAAGAAATAAAATCTATCAAAGAAAGACTTCCTTATCGTGAAATCACTCTCAAATACCACTGCTTGATTGGATTAATTACTAAAATAAAAAACTTCTGGTGTTTCACATTAAAAAAAAAAAGATTGTGGTACAAAAACACTGAATAATCAGAGCAATAAGTTCCTGAAAACTTGATTCTGAACAAATGCAACATAGGTAGGCTGTAAGCTAACCATGTTATCTGTGTTAATGCTCTGAAATCGTTTGCAGAATACAAGTGATTGAATGACACAAAAAACTTTATTAAGATTTTGAAGAGAAAGATAAAGTTTACATCCAGTCTCGACTCGACGTTTCAGGATTTTTAATAATTCATAGCAATCTTTTTTAATTTCCCATGTTTTTTATATTTCTTAATTGTACAATTAATTCATATTTTTTTTCTTTTTCAGGACATTTTGAGATCTCAATCCCATCATCCGATTACATATTATTTCTGCAATTATTACATTTATATTATAATTAATTGTAAAAAACTATTTTTCAACACATGAATATAATTTAATTGATAATGCATTTCTTTAGTAATTTAGAATATGAAATATGGAAATTAAATAATGAGACTTATTTTGTAAAACATTTTATTTTGATTTCATACATATTCACTTATTTTCTCCTTCAATATACACCGGGAAAAACCCCATATAGCCTAAAAGGCAAGGAAGAGGAGACAAAAAAAAAAGTGATTAATAAAGTTGAGGATTTCATATATTTTGGATCACAGGTGAACAAAATGAATGATATTAGTGCAGAAATCGAAATGAAAATAGTAGCTGCAACTAGATGCTATTCTGCAATCAAGAAAAAAAAAGAAAAATCTCCAAAGCAACCTTAGAAAGTTCTTAGTTCTTAGAAGAATTTATAGTCCAGTTTTTCAGAATGGCGTATAGAGGAGAACAAACCAAGAGCTGAAAGCTATATACAAAGAAGTTAATGTAGTCTAACACATCAAACTATTTAGATTATACTGGACCGGACATTTTGTGAGGATGGGGAGGAAGAGATTCCTGCTTAAGTGTTCCGGGTACAAATGTTCGGAATTTGTCGAGAAGGCAGACCACGGCTTTGAAGGGAGGAATGTGTAGGTTCAGATGCCTGAACTGTACCTATTATCGGTAATTGGAAGGCAGCAGCACTCTATAAAGAAAACTGGCAGTCGATGCTGAAGCAGGTCAAGACTAAACTTTGTGGGTCATAGAGTCAATAAATAGATATTTCATCATATTTAAATTAATTCATTATACATGACTATGATAAGTAAAGTAATTACAGAAATAATATGCAAGCTGGTGATAGGGTCAAGGCACAGAAACATCATAAAAAAGAATAAAATGGCAAATCCATTGCATAATTAAGAAATATATATAAAATGACTGTGGATTATTATTATATAAATTATAAATTTAAAATAATATCTTACTTTTTTTTAATAATAATATTTTGATTGTTAAACAATTAGAAAAACAAATTATTTTTCAGCAAGATATAGTTTAAGAAATAAATTATTAAAACACAAAAATTATAAATTGATCTGAACGAATTTGTAAAAGAATTGTAATTTTTTAAATTTATATGAGAAAATATTTAATCACTAAAAAATAAAATATGTCTTATCTACTTAAAGTTATAATATTATAGTATATAATATTATATTATAATAAAAAATAAACAAATGTCACAGAGAATAATGATCAATGACAACTTTTTCAATTTTTTTTGTAATTCTATTTTTAAATAAAAATAAAAATCAAACACAGGATTTTAACCTGGACTTGGCCTTTTCTTCTTTTCACAGAATAGATCTTGATCCGCCTTTTCTATTATAAATTATCTTTTTGCTTCATTTTTGGACAGACAATCATGATTCTTTCCAAAATTGATTGATACCTCACAAGACGGTATCTTTTTTTTTTTTTTTTTACAAAAAATTGACATTGACCATTTTTACCCATGATCATTCAACTTACAATATAATCAGTAAGTATCTAAAATAATAAACTACCTAAGTTGGTACCTTCACTGTCTGTTTTATCTTCCTGTTGTCTTTCATGGAGAATTCTTCTTTCTTGAAGTGCCCGACTAGGGATGAGACCAGCTCTCATATTTCTATCACCTTCCTTTCTAGCCTGCCACCTATCATATCAAAATTATTTAAAATACAGTTCAAACAGAATAATTTCCATCCAGGAGGCCTCTTATAGAAACATCTGGTGCAGTGAGCACATCATAAAACTTCCATTTATGAACCTTATAGTAGACAGATATTTTCTTATAGGAATTCAAAGTGGAAATGAAATAACTTAATTTAAAACAATTAATTACTATGTTTTTCACATCCATCAAATCAAATCAGTTAAATTAAAATCTTTGCATCGCTTCCTTTTGGAAAAATCCTGAGTTATCACAAAACTTGTCAAAAAAAATAACTTAACATAAATAAATATTGCATATTTTTAGGTTTATTAGTAAACCCTCAACATTCCGCAATTATGGATAGTGATACATAAAAGTTAAACTAAGAATTTATTTATGAGGTATCTGCAAAGGAAGAGGATCGGAAAAGGTCGGGCGCTCTCGGCTAAACAGCCGAGCTCCCTACATAGCTTATAATCTGTTTCCTCTTTAGTTATCAATCAATTTTCTCCATTCACTATATGTAACCATTTTTTATATCAGGTTCAAACGTGAAATGGTTAATTATTTAAAATAAAAAAATATTACAGGTACTTTAGAGAAAGAAATTTTGAAAAATCGGTATTTAAGCCCTTGTCAAGTTGCATCGATGAGGATAAAACCTACTTTAAATTCAAAACCACTTGACAATACACTGATCTAGTGAGTTTAATTAAAATTATTAGAGCCGTTTTTGAGAAAATTGTAAAAATATGAATCTACAAGGTTGAGAGGGGAAGGGGTAATAACAGTAAGAAATAAACTAATTATATATCATAAAAAAATAGAGAACAATAACAGTAAGTGAGGTTTGGATGAAAAACGTGGTAAGAAAAAAAAAAAATATATATATATTCAGTATACCTTCAACTCTTCCTTATCCATTAATAAACAAATATTGAATTGACTGATTTATAGATTGATCGGAATTACGATAATAATACTTTAGAAACACTCTATCTTCAATAGTTCTCAAGATCAAGTTTTAACAATTTAACAAGAACAATTTTTAAGATATGAGGTTCAACCAAATATTAATGACGATCAAGCAGGAGTTACATTTGTCTCTTGCAAAAAAGCAATTAGTCATTCCTTAAATTATAACTACAGTCAATCGTTTTTATACCACAAAGAATAAACGCTATTTAATCAACTTATAACTGAGTACTAACCAGTAAGCATCATCCTGACTGACAATGTGAAGAATATCTCCTTTAAGAAAGTCAAGACCTGCTTCCTTACATGGAATATAAGGATCGGCAGATGCAGAGTAGTCGAAATGAGCTCTTACTCTCACTTTACTCTCCCTACAACCAGATCTTCCATCCGCAGGCACCAGTTTAAAAGTTATGGTCCCCTCTGATGCTTGCTATGACAACAAAATAATCAATGTTGATAACAAACATAACACATTCAAAAAGCAATTAATTTATTTCTATTATTTAATAGAAAAGTATAATTATTCAAAATGTTGATAATTCTATCAATATTAATAATTCTACGGGAAATAAGAAACACTTTGCCAATCAAAATGAAAACAATCATTCAATGGAATTGTAACAAATTTTTCCGACGTTTAGAGCACCTAAAAATGACAATAAGCGAAGAGAACCCTATTCTAGTTTGTCTCCAAGAAACACACTTACAAGAAACTCAAACAGTGAGATACAAAGAATACGATATATACCGAAAAGCAAAAGATCGTCATGAGAAGACTTCGTATCTTCATTAAATCAAAGCATTTCAATGAAGGAGCTCTGGAATAAAGTGAAAAGCATTAAGGGAATCTCCAAAACAAAGAAATTGTCTGGTATAAAGAGTGGATAAGAAATTATAACTGACCCCGGCGAAATCGTTAACGAAAGTGATAAAACTCTGCAACAGAGTGTAATTTAAAGGCGTTGCCAATGACCCTACAGGGTAGAGGCAACAAAATACCAAATAAATAAATAAATAAATAATAATTCTACAACAGTATCAATGTTGATAACAAAAATAACACATTCAAAAAGCAATTAATTTATTTCTATTATTTAATAGAAAAGTATAATTATTCAAAATGTTGATAATTCTATCAATATTAATAATTCTACAACAGTATCAGCTTAATTTTCATCAAGAAGGCTATGGCTACTTCTTCAACGCTACTGAATTATATTTTTTAATATTAACCATAAAGTTACTGAATTGTTGACAAAACAAGCATTTAACTTTTTCAAAAAACAATACTTATTAAAGAACATGAATTCCAGTAGAAAAAAAAAAAATAACAGAACAGGAAAAAATAAAAGATCCAACGGTTTGGAGCACAAACAAAAATACTACTTCCCTAACTTCAGTTAACATTGAAATATCCTTTTTAAATTTTCCCATCACTTTAAATTTAACTATTGATAATTCGAAAATTTTGATAATCTGAATAGGCCATGTTATCCACGTTTTTGGATTATCAAGACCGTCCTGTATTCACAAATTCAGTTACTATTTTTATTTTAACAAGTGTATTGTTAGGGTTTCTATAAATTAAAAAATAAATTCCAAGTCCTATTAATGATATTGAAAAACTTAAGATATTTACATAATTTTTTATGTATATATCTTTTTTATATATATATATATATATATATATATATATATATATATATATATAAGATATTGGCTGTCTATTATCCAATTAATCTTCATTAGTTTATGCCCCTTATAATTCTCTCAAGTAGTATCTTAGGAAAATTACTTTATTACTAACATGCCACGATTTATGAGGTAAAAATTACTTTCTAATTTCTAATGATAAAGTGTCATTCTCAAACTAATCAACTAAGTAAAAAAATGTATTTATTTTATTTTATTTACTGCTGGATAATAGGAGGTTGCTTCAGCATGGTTCTATTGCATTTTATTACTATGATTTTGGAAAACATTATTTTTTTTTTTTTTTATTGGTTTGCAATAATATTTATTTAATTGTTACATTACATAAAAAATGAATAAATGATAAAAAATGACTGCTCATTTTGGTTATTATAGGAATAATTTAAATTTTATTTTCAAATACAATTAAAATATATTATCAAAATATCTGTTGAAGAAAAATGATACATGGGCATAAATGCTTACGATGGCTCAGATACAACAATAGCCAATATGATTTTGAAAATTTAAATTATCCCAGTTAATACTATGCTACTAATTTAGCTGAAACAATTAATTAAAATTATGATTTTTTTGCGTCATATTGATGAATAAGAAAGATCATGATTTATCCTTTTGGGTTTAATTCATAGAATGAAATACTACAATATAGTCAAAAGATAGCTTTGAATGGTTCATTATGATTCGGAAAACAGGAAATAATGCATAAATAGGTCATAGTAAAAATAAACTAGAGGAATTTCTTGGTATTTATACATGTTAAAAATAGATTAAACTGGATACATCAGGAATGACTATACTTAGAAAGAAAAAGAAAAAATTTAAGCTGGTTGTTATTTAAACTATGATTGTGAAAACATTGAATAAAGTATAACAACTATAGTTATTATTTTGTGAATTGTATAAGATTAATTTTATTGCAAACATAATAAAATAATCAAATAAATAAATATAAACCACAACTTATGATGATTTATTTTAATTTTTTTTTTTAAATTTAAGTAGTTCAAAATACCAATGATTCTAATAAAAAAAAGTAAACAATAAGAGCAGCACTACAAAGTTTTTGCTTTAAGAAGTTATAAGAGTTTATAAATATTTTTTCATGACAAACTATTTACAACCTGATGTTTTAATTAATCTCCAAATACTAGTGAGATTGTGAGTCTGTTAAGTGGTAGAAGTAGATATTGAAACTTTTTAACAGTACTAATTTTCCACATTCCGTTGTTTAGCTTTTTCTGACAATTTCTTTTCAGAAGAGCAATCTACTTTGCTTTTGATTCAAATTAATTTAGTGACATTTTTGCTCAACAATATTTCAATTTAATAACAATATTTTTTATACATTATAAAAATAAAAAAATCCGATACAATTACCAGTTACATTTATTTTCAATAGAAATTAATTGCATTTTTTAAAGTTTATAAACCTTAATGGAATAAGAATTGATATCGATAATTGATAAAAAATCAATGATTGAATGTATGTATTATTAAAATGAATGAATAATGAATTGATTTTATTACTCTTATTCTTCTTTTTTTCTCTTAGCAGTATTTGTGCGGAACCTCAATGAAATTCCGGCAAAAATGTAAAAATAACTATGAAAAATTAGGAATAAACATGATTAAGTATACTTGGGAAAATTCATTACTTTTTCATTTATCTCCATTACTTTCTACTACTTTTAAAGTTAGATATTACTTTTTCTAAAATCTTTAGCTTTCCTATGATATGTTATAGATTTATATTACCACTCCAATTCCCAGAAATTTGTTTTCAACCTACAAAAATATTTTCCCCATTTCCTCCTCCAGTTTATTATCTCAAAACATGTCAAATTATTTTGACGAGAGTAAGACCTAATTGATATTAAATGTCATTTAATTTTATATTGATATCAAGGGTTTTTTAAGAAAAATGTATTCAATTAATGATACAAAGAGGCAAATTATTTTTGGCCAAAAAGTTGCTGTTACATTTCAGGTAGACACCTACCTTAAGAGGCTTGGTTATTTAGATTCATGAGAGTGTGAAATATGTATTTCCGTTAAAAACTCTAATTGAAAATTTTTCATGATCGTAATACATTTTCATGCAGCATATATTACATGTCGCTAAGTAATTAGGACACTTCAATTTCTGTTAGAAATTTATTATAGAATAAACCCATAAACTTTTATCTATATCAGATCTACCTAAATCTAAAGGAAAATTAGTAATTATTGAAATGAATGCTCATACTTTTCATCAGTTTAATATTTGTTTTCACATTAAATTTGCCACTGACATTCATTTCACCTGAGTATAATCAGAAAAAGTTATAACATAAAAAGGAGAAGAATTAAAAATCAATAAATTAAAAACAAAGTTTATTTAAATCCACTAACAAGTCATTCTAAGCTTTTTGAATGCACTAAATTTATTGAAAGATAACCAATTGTAATTTTTTTTTTTTTTTATAAATGCAATATATTCCTTTCAGTTTAATTTGGCTCAATGGTTTAGGAAAACAAGATGTATTTTATTTTAAAGAATGACATAGTTTAAAAATTACATGCTGGTGCTGGTACTTGTGGGGGGACTAAGTCCAGCAAGTGAGCCTAATGGCATTTTTGCCAAAAATGACAAGCTAATTGGCATTTTCAATATCACTCATCCTGGTTTTGAAAGTTTTTCTCTTGTATAAAGCTGTTAATAAGGTGGTATTACAGGATTTTGTAGTCGAACGGATGGATTTGTTGCCAAACAGATTTTCAATGTTTAGGCAGCCATTATAGTGGAGATAGCACATTTTAATTATGAGGTTAGAGGTTGCCAAAAAAGTATTTGTCAGTAGATAGTTTCCCTACAATTAAGAAAGTTCTAGCAGTTAATATTGACAATAGAATACCAGACTGTAACCATAATTTATTTCAGGAGCATATCAGGCTTTAAAAAAATGTCTGGCTTTGTCTAGATATTGACCACAATGCCTTCTGTTATCATATAAGATTAATTTTTTATCACATGCCATTATGCGATCAAGAAATTGATCATTTTTATAATATGTAGAAAGTCTGTATATTCCTTAATAGTTCCCTGACCACATACTTCTTCATTATTATAACCAGTTTGCGCAAAACTGCACCCAAGTTAAAATTCATAAAAATAAATTTGTCAATATAACTCTTAGACATTTTCTTTTCAAAGGCTTTAAACAGACTTAACAAAATGATTTTACTGTCTGAAATTAAGATAGAAAAGAGAATATACAATACGAATTATTAAAAAATATATGGAAATAAAATAAAGGATTTGCGTTGTTTACACAATAGGTTTTAAAATTCAGTGAAGACCGTGAGTTATTTTTGCATCAATAAATTGATAGCTGTTGGCATATATTTTCAAATCACCTCCTTGCACAACCGTTGACCAAGAAACAATACTTTTCCTAAATAGTACTGAACCTAAGACCCTCCATGGATTGTAGTGGTACAGGTTTTTTTTTAAACACATCTTTTACTGTACTAATACAATCCATGAAGCGTTTTGGGTTCAGTACTTTGTTAGGAAGTACTGTTTCAAACCCAATGAGATGGGGGATGATCAGACCAGGTTCATGCACAACATATTTGTTATTTACAAATAATAAAATAACAACTATGATAAATATTAATTTTTTTCCTTTTATTCAATTAACTGGTTCCAGAAAAAATAATCATAATTCAGATTTTATAGACTAAAAATAATAATAATAATAAAACTTACAAGAATGGCAAGTACGTCATTAGGAGTTTTCCCCTCCACATTGATACCATTTACCTCGACAACTTCATCGCCAACATGGATGAGCCCAGACCTATCAGCAGCACCTCCGTGCATGACCCGAGCAATTACTATCTTACCAGTGTCATCTTCACTTTTAATTGTTGCACCCTGTAACAAAAGAAGATAATTTATTTTATATCACAAAAAAAAAAAAATGTATTTAACAAAATAAGCATACAATCAATGCAGAGAATTATTACTACAAACTGCTGGAAAAAGACTTGCATAAAATAGGAACAAATTCTAAATTAAATAGAAATGATAAATAACTAACTGTACGCGAAATATCATGAATAACCGATAATTAGAAAATAGCAAGAAAACTTTTTATTATAGAATCCGATTTTTCACCCTAAACTCTGGGCCACTTCTTCAGGGCATCATTCACTGAGACACTTCATCAAGAAATTCGCACCAAACTCATATACCATATACCCTAAAGATGGCCCACATGTTTGGGTCAAAACGCAGCCTTGCTTGATATAAAATTACTGACTGATTTCTTGACTGTTATCCATGATAAAATGTACACAGTTCAATAAATGATTTTAAAGAGTTTAATAATATACCCAAAAACAGTTAATTGCAATATATCAACTGGAAACAATGAATCATTTTTATTTCCTGAGCCGGAAGCAGAAAATATAGTTTACAGATGAAAACAATGTTAATAACTATTTAAATTAGAACATTTAGTAAATTTTATATAGACAAATAACATTTAATAATAGGGATAATGATCAAATAAAAAGTAGGCGAATTTAAATGTCTAACTTTTATCGAGCAGTTTAAATTCTTTCAAATGGAAGGTACCTACTATACATACTTAAGGTCAATGAATACTAAAAATTTACTGAATATACATATTATATATATAAATAATATGAACTAATTCAAAATTAAGATTTAGAACAAAAAGGAAGGATAAGTACAAGAAATAAAAGATGGAGACTACTGCAAGAGGTAATAGTGCTACAAAAAACAAAGTATACTAAAATATTCTCCAATATCCACAATATAAATGATGAATCTATACAAACTGATGATGAAAATAATGAAAAAAAAAAATCTTCTAAGCTGTAAATGTTGCTAATAATACTTCAAAAACTTTCATTATTTTAACTTAGGCCCATCTTCAGATAGATAATACACAGGGGAGTTAATATTTATTAAGCAAAATTTTTTTAACATAAAAAGTTTTTAAAATATTATATAGAATATACTTCATAATTTCAGATATAGAAGTCATTACTTTCAACATTACTGAGGTTAATTCAACATTACCATAAGTTTAAATAACTCCTGTTGTAACATGGCTAATGAAACCATGGATTCAGACATATTGTGAATTAAAATAAGATTAGTATAAAAATAAACTAAAAAAGGACATTATTTATTTTTTGATTCATGAAATAACTGAATCGCTTCTACAATAAGGAATTAATAAACCTGATCAAGAAAATGGAAACTATGTTTATGAGAAACTAAATATGCATAATAAAACAATTCACTACAATTACACAGTAAGTATATCTTTATAAAAAATGAAATTGGTATTTGGCAAATAATAATATAATTCAAGAATTCTATTCTAAAGTCAAAATTCATTAATTTTAATTTACTATATTACAAGTAAATCTGTTTTAAGGTTTTTAATAGTTTGATACTTAGGCTATATTTTTAAATTATTAGCCGGCAAACAGTCTTACAACAATATTTGTTTTTAAAAAACCAATCAAGATTACATGAAGATTTCAAGTACAAGTTTATGAAAAAGCCAATCTTTTTGTGTGAAAAAGTCAAATACGTATGTGTTCTAAACAGCCTGTAGGTTGCCCTAACTTAAAAAATTGTCATCCTTATATAACCCCCTTTTAAGTGTCATTACTGAAGATCAAAAAATGTCAACACATATCCAAGAATCGTTTTCTTATGGCTGCAGTGGCGTTCTGTTACTCGGGATTCTGCGGACAATCTGCAAGTGAATTTTCAGCAGACACACAAAAATCAGCCTCTTTATAGAGACTTCATAGTCTTATGAAAATGATCTACCCTGTTCGCACCTACACCTCACAGACCTGAATCATCTCAAAGAGCAACAAAAATGATATAATGGTTTTTGAAAGAAAAATGTTACAATGCATAATTGGTCCAGTAAGTGTCGCCGAGGACTGCAGAGAATCAGAAAGAAAGAGAACTCTAAAGAGGGATAGATTGGTGAGGTTTATCAGTCATGGAAGGCTTATTAGTCTAAATAACTTCGTCCTGGAAAAATGACCCACCTAGGTCGCCTTGACCCGCAACTCTGGGGAGAGTGTTGGAGGAAATCCTTCATCAAACAAGAAGACCAAGCAGGTTGAGACTAAGGTGAGCTGATGGCATGGCAGTGGATGCAAAAAACTTCGAGGGGCCGGGACCTAAAGAGTAGCTGCATTGGACAGAGCCGAATGATGGAGGTTCACTGAGGAGGTCAAGACCCATCCTGGGTTGCAGTGCCACGGGGATAGATAGATGCAGGAATCACAGAAAATTATTTATGAGAGTAACTAATTTGTATGAGGCAGATAGGTAAAGACTGAAGTAATAAAGAGAAATAAAAATCTTTGAAGACTAGAATTATTAGATGTATAGATAAAAATTCAGTAAATAATATAAGCAATTAATATTCCTGAAAACATGTATTGTTAAACTAATATATCATTAATAATAGAAAGTAGAATATGATAACAAGTATAAATAAATACAAAAATACCTAATGTCATCTTCCAAAACCATTTATTCATTCACGTAATCATTATTAGAAATTATTTTACTCCTACCATAATGTGAACAAATTTTTGGTAAATATAAATAGATTTTACTGCTAAAAAATAATTAGATATAAAAATAAATGTTATTTTTATCACATTCACCATACAACAGGCATAATTGTTAAACATGAAAAAAAAGATTAATTTTTCAAATACAATGGTAAAAATATTATTTGAACTAAGTATGCCATAAAAAGTAATAGATCAGAATAAAAAAAAATATTTATTTTTTTAATACATAACAGCGATATCTGCAATATACCGAAAATGTGAAGAACCATCAAAGTGATGAGTCAAAAAAAAAAATGTATTTAAAAGATTGTATAAAAGTATAAGTAATGATATTTATCTAATTATATTTACCAACTCAACAATTGAAAACTATTTTTGCAAACATTTAGAAACAATTTGTAGAAAAACTGAATAAAGCATGCAATTGGCATTAAAAGTTTTTGTTACGATCAACTAAGCAAATTACTATTGACTCTAAAAATGTTAATATTTATAGGATTGTGAACTGGAGGTTCATAGATAAAAATGCATTAACTAAAATAATATAGATTCACTGGAATGAGTAATCAGCTACTTAATCCTCGGTTAAGCATTACCACAATGCCATTCACTTATTGCACTGACATGGATAGAGATTATACCAAACAACTTACCACAATAGGCTCAGCACTTTGGGCCCCAGTCTAATGAAAGCAATGCAGAGAAAACCTTAGTTAGCACTAAATAAAACTTATCTGAATCTCTAAGTCTATGTCTACAAACATGCATCTAGTATCATTTATATCAAATAACAATAATAAATAATTTATCAACTTTATTTTGACACTCAACATGAAAATAATTTGTGTACTATCTTAATATTAATCAACTTTAATACTTATTCAAAATGTAGTTTAAATGAAATATTGTTTTAATATCATAATATAAATATTGACCATTAATAACACACAAAAAAGCAAAACTAAATTAAAATTAAAATTTGAGCCCACAACTTACCAGTGGTTCATTGCTTTTAACAAGCTGTACTATTTTGATTGTCTCTTCATCTTCTTCCACATCTAATGGTATTTCTGGAAGCCTGGGAAAATAATCTTTCTGAGCGACTGCATCATGGGCACACATCAATCCCTTCAAATAAAAATTTATTGAAAACAGAAGGATAATATAATATGAAGAATGGAGTTTTACGATCAAAAGAAAAACCTGTAAATGCGGCTTCTGTAGAAGAAGAAACAGCTCTTTACACAATTCACTCCTACCAAGCCTAGGTAGGATAACTTCTAGTACTTCGACAGCAACTTGCATTGAACTTGATAAAACAGGATTGAGCTTATCATCCTTCCCATTTTCCAATATTTTATTATGAACTTTAACTAATGCATGCAATTCTTTGGACTGAAGTAGTCCACTCAAAAACCCAAATTCTTCTTCAGAACTAGGCAATTGCCGACGTGATTCTTCCAGCGAGGCCAAAAGCCCTGATAAAGCTACAATATACAATTTAAGTGTTACAACAATTTAAGTGTTAGACAATAAATCCACAAATGTTTGCTACTATGGAAATGGGTTTAAAGTATACCATTGCACCATTTACTTACATGGATCCCAATTTCCATTAGCCATTACTGCAGTCATTATAATACAAGCTTAAATTTCACCAAACAAAATAACTAATATTGAAAATACAGATTAGATACAGAAACAAACCAATTCATAAGAAAAGATTATTGTATTCAAGCAATATCGGTTATTTCATTTTCCCAAAAGGCTGTAGGTATTTTAGAAAAAAAGGGTCATCTGATTTTCATCATTAAGACAAACTTTGTACATATAATAAATACAGGCACATTCCTGCTGATCGTAATTTTGTCATGTATAGCTATATCAGCATTGTTCACTCTTTAATTTTGTTTCATCTATTCATAGAAAAACTCCTATTAACTTCGTAAGGAACTATCATCGACATCAGAACCAGCTACCTGATAACCAGCAGAAACCAAACTTAACCATATTAATCCATCTACACTCTTGAAGGGTACACCAGTGTAGCATTGGAACACTGTCTTTTAAAATCTAATATTTTGGTTAATGATGATAAATAGAGAAAATAAATAAAAATTAATCAATACAACTTTCAAAATATTTTTAATGGTGAAAATCTTTAATCTTTAAGCTGCACGATCAAATTACTCATAGAATAAGTTAATAAGGCCAAGCTTTCCTTAAATTATTTTTCCATTAGACATTTCTACGTTTTTACATTGTAAAATCACATTACACACAATATTAATTAAAGAAAAATAAACCACACCTCGAAAATTGACTAAGTTAGTTCAATCATCTATATGATTGATCATCTATATGATAATATCTATATATGGCTCTATATCCATTGTGTTTTTGTGTTATGAATTAATACATTTTATTTGTTAATTTAGATATCTTTATCCAAAACCGCTTTCTTTGAACAACTAGATTACATCTATATTGTATTAGTCATCTCTCCTTTAAGATATTCTTAAATTACTTTCAAGAAATCTATATTTAATCTCCTTTGGGAATACAAATGGTATTAGAAATCATACCAATCCAATTAGCCCCCATTCCTAAACCTTCTCCATCGTCATTCATTAGAGGCCCAGTTTAGTGGAACCTCTTTTGTCAAGTCATTCCCGACCAAATTGATCTCATTTTATTCCTAAATTCCCCTGAAGACAAAAGCCTCTTTGACTTGGACAATACCGTCCATTTCTTTACTACCATATTTCAACAAGCTGTCTGGACTTCCTCTTTTCCAAGTGACCCCGAAAATTCCTCACAAAAATACTTTATCTCAACACCTCCTAGACCTAATCCATATTAAACGCCATGTTAGATCATTGTGGCAATGTACTAAACATCCATTCAATCTCCTCTCCTATTGCTACTATTGCAAACAATTAAAGTTGGAATCAGCCACCAATAAATCCCAATCCTTTTATACAACCAATCTCTCCTCTTTGCTTGTGACATTTCCCTGTAGAATATCACTAAACAAATTCTAAAACCTCACCACATTCCCATCTCCCCCAACGAGTTGTAGGCTCCAGGGCAGTATCTGATGAAGATGAAGCCGAAAAATTTTCCAAATGCCTTCCGAAACATTTTCTCCAACAATCGAAGAATTTCTTACACCAGCTATACTATTCTCCACCAAAAGCAGTTAATTCTTATGAGGTCAAGCACCGTTTACAAAAATTAACTCCTCATAAATTTCCTGGGTACGATCTTCTTACTTCTCAGATCCTTCGACAACTTCATCTCAAAGCTGTCGTACTTCTCACTTACATATACAATAACATCCTACATACAACCTACTTTCCTTGTCTATGAAAACATTTCACTATCATTCTCTATGCTAAAGTTAGGCAAAACTTCGAACAGCTTGACATTCTATAGACTATTTAACCCACACCAAATTCTTTCAAAAATCGTATTTTGAGGCGAATTCCACCCTTTATAGAATCCCGAAATCCTCCTCTTTCCCCTCCCTCCCCCACCAGTTTCGCATTCGTTCCAAACATACTAGTCCAAACAGTCCAACAAGGATTCGGAGTCATTAATATGATTTTCTTAGTTATGGAAAGCAAAAAAAATTGCTCGGGTGCATTTCTGGACATAGCACATCTTTTGATCGGCAATGGCACACTGGGCTACTTTCCAAGCTTAAAATCTCTTTACCCCAGTCCTCCGATCCTATCTCTTTGACCGCTCCTTTCCTGTTGCTGTGGATCAAAATTTTACAATTGTTATCTAGAAGAGGCCACTGTTCTCCAAAGCAACGTCTGGAATCTCGCTTTTATTTCTTCACCACTGAAATCCCTATTCATCCCGATACCTTCCCGCCAACATTCGCTGATGATACTGCCATTCTTTCATTCAACTCAGATCCCGAAATAGCATCCTTAAATCTGAAATGGCACCTCTCTCTGATTTAACATTAGTGCAGCAAGTGACGCATCGAAGTAAAAGAGTCCATATACAAACATGTCACCATTATTCTTCAACTCAGACCCTATCCCCCAGTTTTTTTTAACTCCATCCAGCTTCATTATTTCATAGACAGTCCGATATCTTGGCTTTCTCCTAGATAAATGATTGATATGGAACCCTCATCCTAGACTTCAGACAAGCGCTTAACCGACGTTATGGTAAGGAATAAAAAATCTCCTGCTCAAAGAATAAAAAATCAAAACTTAATATTGAAAAAAAATAATTGGTCTACAAGACAATCCTGAAACCAATCTGGACCTGTTAGACTGGAACTGTTAAGATATCCAATCCTTTCAGAACAAAGTACTTCGAAGAACAGTCTTCATTCTACGAAACCAACAAAACCCTCCATCATGATTAATATCTCATTTGTCCTGGACCTTTTCTCAGAAAAAAAATCTCTGAATTTCAATGGAATCTTATATATCATACAAACCTCTTGCACTATCTCTATCTAGTACCATCCATTCTTACAATCCTCCTCGAAAGATGAAGCAGCAGTGGCCACGTGACCTTTTGTAATATGTATATATTGGTATTCTGGCAATGGTCAGATTCTCCAAACAAGACATGAGTGTAGCATTACTATTACTTTAGCATTAGTATTACTTTACTTACCTTTAAGTTCATTTTATTTTTATTCATTATATATACTTTTTGACTATTATTTAGTTGTTATTTTGCTTCTGTTTTATATTATTAACTTATATTATCTATAAATATAGTTTGAATGTACTCTTTCTCTACTATAACCATTGTCCATATTGTGATAGAATGTTATATTACTCAATAAAATGGTTTCTATTTCTTAAAAAAATATATAGCTAGTTGGCCCGTGCAAAATATTCGTAAATAAGTCACTGAAATGTTAAGGAATAGCAAAACAATGTGGAAATAAGTAGACCCTATGCATTATGTAAGGGATAAATTAATTATTTTTTCTGTGTCAATTACAATATTCCATTTAACATAATAGACCAAAATATTTGTACGAATTGCTTTGCTAGAGCCTATTTCTACACGCTGACTGAAAAGTTAACATTCAAAATAAAGCCCCAATCATGGGATTTTATAATTTATTAAAAAATATAAAATGTACACACAAATAATGCCTTTAAGTAATAATAAAGCACATATCAGCCAGGAAAAAAAAGGAAGAAGAGTAAATGTAGTATGTTCAAAAAGGAAAAATAATATTAAGTATACCAAAACTAATGGACTGTATCTTTGTTAATAATCGTCCGATTTTTACATTTGTTTTTTGTTTTGTGGGTAATTTATTAATCTTTCTAATTACCATGGCACAATTAAGAAAAATGTATTATTTTTGAGTTATTCCCAAATAAAGTTCCTTTTCATTTATTCATAAAGTTTCAAAATGAGTGGTCAATCATTGAATTTGATGAAGAATTGACAAAAAATAGCTTTTAGAAATAATATATAAGATATATTAAACTCTTAGATTTTTATCCTATATAGACGCCCAAGCGCAGTGGTCATTTAATCGAATCGGAGTGAACGAAATTGATTTATTTTTTAATCCCTGTTTTAAAATGAACTTAGAAATCGAAAAGATTTCGAATAAGCTACTACTTGTCATCGGCTCCCCATTTCCTTCATTTCTGTTTGGACAGACGGATCTACGGGAAAAATGGTAAAATATAGCCATGTCTTATGACAGATACACTAAAAATTATCTCTAAAAGTATTATTTTCCGTGTAATTACATTTAATAGCACTTTAAGAATCAGTTAAACACCATTTCATAAATGTAGTTAGTTTATTTCTTCTTCTTCTATAGTAATAATCGGTATATTTATAAAAGCTTTCGAGCTGAAGCCCCAAAAATCAAATTCTGGATCCGCTAGTGTCTATTTGGGAAGAGTTGCCTTAGGGGCAGCCATAGTTCGCATGAAAGATAAAAGAACGGAAGAAGAGTAGGGGAATCTCTAGTCCACCATGATTGTTTTTGTAAACGAAATGAGAATGTTTTTTACTCAATGAAAGTCCCTTTTAGTTGGCTCAAAACTGTGTAGTTACATTTGAAGGTAGATTCCTTGGATCCTTGGATCCTGGATGGTGATGGATCAAGTTAGATGATGTTTCCATTTATAACACAATATGTATAATTCATTAATTTATGACACTTTTTCTGATTTAGAGTGATGATTAAGTTGATGGTCCAAGCTTGGACATCTTTTGTGACATCACGGTCCCTTCCAAGAGGGACAGTATCTGGATTAAGTGGAAGCCTTAACCTGTGAGGATCGTCTTCATGTCTCATGCGTGGTTAAAAAAAATGTCCTTAGATAATTTATCAAGTGAGTCTAGCTTGTTTTTAATGGTAGGCTTGAATTAAAAAAATGTGTAACATTTCGAAGTTCCGGATGACGTTGTCCTATCACTAAGCAGATGAATTTGGATGGTAGAAACTATAAATATTCTACATTCGATTGGTCATCGGCAAGTCTATAATGAGACAACTTCGTGATGTGGCACATAGATATTTAGAAATTTTATCGACTACTTAAGCATTGGCGAAAATTTTTTCTGAGCTATATGTGGATTGCATGCTATAACTGAGAGAGTCAGCAGATTTGGAGACAATTGAGCAGCCTTAGCTTGTGAATTGGATCTTGAATGAGTAGAAATCCTTGGCTATAGTGTTCTCATAAGTGTCGTCTGCTGTTTCATTGTGTTGCCCTTGAAGTTAAAATAATATTTAGAATTTAGTTAAAATCCGTAACATGGTATATAGAACCAATATATGTATATATTATCCTCCTCAATCGGCTCTGCAACCCATCCTCGTTCGTCAAAGAAAGAATATGATCTTTGTCATGAGATTTTATTTCAACTGAAAACACACCCTGATCCAACCAAGCTTCCTTTTCCCAGAGATATGCTCAAAACAGAATCTGGTGTACTTTTCAATAGTAGGAACAATAGAATATATCATATCACAGACAGAACAACGTCATCAACTTAAGGCTGTACTGTATAGTACTTAAAAATTATAAATTTGAACGGAATATTATTTTCACTAAGTAGCCGTGAAAACATAGATGCATTTGCCAAATTTCGAAAATTTCTTTTGCGTATGTTCAAGAGACCGACAACTGCGTAAACGCGAACGTTCATTTGTCATTTGCAGAATAAAGAAGTCTTTCGCAGCGTCGTGTAGCAGGGGCTATAAATGAATGTTCCTCATTTAGCATTAGTACAGCTACACGATATGGTCGAATATCATTTGCCGAACGTTTAGAGACATTAATGCCCCTGTGGCGCTGGTTTTAGAGTTTGGTTGTGCGAACCCGCTTATTGACTTATCCTCTTAATGTTTGACATTTTTATTTGTTTCTATGACCGGCAATTTTCTTCTTTTCAGCTGAAAATTTCTTCATGCTCCCTCAGTTGTGGCCTTAAACTTGGCATTCCCAGACAGTTATTTCTTGAGTGTCCTCTCTCGCAAACATAAAAGTTTAATTTAGGAGGAAATGAGGCACATATGAGGAACATGGTATATTACTTTATATTTCTTTTAATATGGCTCTAATTCGGCTGCTTTAGTGAATTCAAGAAGGGAAGAGGGTGAAAGCTCACTCTCTTAGATCAATTTGGAGGCCAGCCAAATTAATCAAGATTTAGGAGAGGGTCCTTCAGGTGGTACAGTTCCACTTTTGTAACAAAGTAGCTGGCTGTATTTAATACATATAGACGAATTGCAGCTAACTAGGGATGGGTTGATACCGGAATTTTTGAATCTAGATACAACTGATATGGGTACTTTTTTGTATCTGATACAAATTAATTATTATATCTCCATCATTTGGTTGTATACTAATTTGAAGTGTGTTACATCAATTGGATTATTCATTTAATGTTTCATTACCTTTCAAGGTACTTTTGTTTTATTTAAAATATATTCTCATAAGCTGTTAGAAGATCTAAAATGTAATATAGTTACAGAAAAAAGCATTAAAAGCAGCAAACTGTAACAAGTCACATTATTAAACTTCTTTATTTTTGACAATAAACACTTCAAGGTATATAAACAATTGGTTTATTTGTTGAATTACATGTCAAGTTGACATTCTAGGAAAATTATTCCCATCTTCAAAACTTAAATTTCCAGCAAAAAAGAAGAATTCACATCATTAAAATTATTGTGAATTGGTGATATGAAAAAAAAAGCTAAAAAATTTATATATTTTGATATTATATACATTTCATTACTTCGTCAGTTATAAGGCATATTTTGTTTCAAAAAAGCATATGTTAAAAAATGTATACATATCTGCATAGTACTTGATATACTTAAACAGTTATTAAATTATTATAGTTAAACATATTGTAAAGTATTTATTACAGGGATAAATCTGGCATTGAAGGAATAAAATATATATAGGCAAATATTTAATATATATTTTATTGTCCAGTAACTAATATCAATCCAATGCTTAATTGTATAAGATATGTATAAAAAATATTTACATAAATATTTACCTGTTAGCTACTTACTTTAGTTGAGATTTTATTGAAGTTGTTAAATAATTTGTTTTGATGTAAATATGTTTACAACAATGCTAATAAATGTTTGTTTTTATAAAGTCAAAAGTCTTTTTCGGCAATGAAATTAATTATTATAATATGTCGATAACATTCTCCTTATTTTCATTTCATTTCAAACTAATTAAGTTAAAAGTTCAATTTTTTCTAAGCTATTTTTGTTTTATATACATATATCTGGGATCAGAGTACTAATACATGGAGAATAAAGACCAATAAAAATTGCTTACAGAAACTGGTCAATCAATATCCCATGATATGAAGGCAAGGAGATAAAGATAACAGGGCATTTAGCTCCTAGCAATCCATCTGGGAGCCTCTACGCAACAATGAATGCCTCAATAGAAGGAAAAAAAAAAACAAGTCGAAGGCCAAAAAGCAGATGGATAGATAGAATCAACAAAGATGCAATAAAACTGTGTGCAGATAAATCGAAAAAAATGGCCCAAGACATGCAGAGATGGAGCAGACTTGTTAAGGTGGCAAAAGATCTACATGGCTTGTAATGCAAACAAAAAAAAAAAAAAAAAATATATATATATATATATATATATATATATATATATATATATTTGTGTATGTTAAACTTAGCTATAAAGATTTTTTTTAATTGTTACAAAATTCTTTAGAACCTTTTAGTAGGAAAAAATTTTCTCTGCATGAATTTATTATGTTTTTATTTTTAATTAAATATATTCCATTCTTTTGTCAAAAATAAAACGTATTTTGTTTAAATATTGTGTACATATCTTCATAGTACCTCACATAACTATATAGTCATTAGAACTATTATATTTAAAAATGGTGTAAAGTATTTCTTACAGGGACAAATTTAGTAATAAAGGAATAAAATATATATAGGTACATATTTAATATATGTTTTATTAGGTATCAAACAGTATTAAAAATATCAAACCCGATCAATAATCAATTACAGATGGATTAAAATATCTGATACAATTATTGGGATATCAAGCCCAAGGGCCAGTATGCATACCGCTTGAGTACCAGTATGCATACTCTTCAGTGTATGAAGTCCAGGTATTAGATAAAAATATCCGATACCAGTATCAGACAAAAATATCTGATAGGAGTATCAGATAAAAGTATCGGATGCGAGTATCATATAAAAATATCGGATAGCAGTATCAGATAAAAATATCCAAAATTAACGTTACATTAAAAAAAAAAAAAAGCGTGAATATATTTATCTACAAATAAATATTTAATTAAATTAAAATAAATGAATAGACAATTCTAAAGAAATTGTGCAAAACTAAAAATTTCTCTTATATCAATATGGCATGTCTGGACAACCATTTTGTATCCATGTGAGCATCTGTATCAGATACAAAGTATCTGATACATACAATCAGACCCATCCCTACATTCAGGTCTCCCATAATTATTGGTATGCCTTTGCATGTATCGATCTCATGTTGGACAGAGTCGAAAAATGCTTCCTTTTCAAGATTAGTGGCATTATTATTTGATCTGGATGCTATGAGACCCCTTCGCTACATACTTCCACTCACATGAGTCTGTCACTTGGTGTTGGGATTCTAAATAACGTTATAAATAAATAGATATAATGAGACCATATCTATATACCTTATCTATATATCTATCTATATCTATATATATATCTATATCTATTACCAGCTTTGGTCCGAACTAGAGAGGGTGGCATGCCACAGAGCACACCCTTGACCGTACCCGCACTGTGAGAACGGCAAATGCAGTGGCTGCTCAAATCAGAAGAAATCCCATTCGAAAACAACAAATCATGTTTTGGGAAGTGAGAATCTCTTGTCAGATCAATGTCTCCTATAGTAAAAAGTGACCTTAGGATGGGTGTATTTTGAAGAATGACATAACAAAGGCTAACCATTTCCATAAAAAAAATTAGTGGATAGATGCAAAATGATCCTAGGCTGTTATACCAATGGCCTTCATCGAAATATTTTGTTTAGCGATAAGAAAACTTTTACAATTGAAGAAAAATTTAATCACCAAAATAATAACATAGCTCTAAAGAAGCCTAGGAAGCCATTGGAAGAGTGGAAAGAGGCCATCACCCTTCCTTAGAGATGGTTTGGTGGGGAGTTTGCTTTGATGCTTCGATGACAAAGCTCCATTTTTGTGAAAAAGGAGTTAAAACAGCCGCTAGAAACTGTCTGGAAGATATTTTGGAACCTGTTGTCAAGCCTCTAAATGATACTATGTTTGCTGAAAGTCAATGGGTTTTCCAGCAGGAATCCGCTCCAGCTCACAAGGCTAGGTCAACTCAGCAGTGGCTTCAAAAGATTCCAGAGTTCATCTCTGCCTCGTACTGGCCCTCAGGAAGCCCTAATCTCAAACCTCTAGATTACCGGCTTTGGTCCGAACTAGAGAGGGTGGCATGCCACAGAGCACACCCTAACTTGGAAAGCCTCAAACAATCTCTGGTTCGAGCAGTTGAGCGCTTTCCTCAAGAAGTGCTGCATGCTGCTATTGATATCTGGTCACGGAGTTTAAATGCCTGTGTCAAGGCAAAAGGGTTTTTGAGTAATTTCTTTTTTGTTTTACTCTCTATAGATATATATTTTATTTTCTAATAAAGTTTTTGAAAAATATAATTTTTCAGTTGAAATCTGTATATATTTCCTTTTAACAATATTTATGACAGGACTAGATACATACAGTTTTTGTTATTTTGATATCCTTAATGAGTTTTTACATTGATAAATAAAACAGAAATTCACAAATGTGTTTTTAAGTTTTATCTCAATTAAAAATTCATTTCAAAAACCTTTAATAACAAATGTTTAAAAACGTAACAGCCCAATTTTGCCAGAAAATAATTTTTACTCAAAGTTGAGTGATAAGTGAAAGATGTGATGTGAGTACCATGTTTTTTACTATTGTTTAGGGTAAAAATATAAGGCAATCTTAAGTAAAAATGTAATTATTAATCTATTTAAAATAAATGATGGGTAACATATATACACTTCATAATAACTCAATTAAATTATTCAAGTATTAATCGCAGAAGTATTAATTTTTTTAAATTTAATAACTGGGAGTCGGCTAATCCGTTCTTGATCTTCAGGAAAAATAGCTTCCTGTGGTAAAGCCCATGGGTTTACAACATAAGGCAGCCTATCACCAGGATTAGTGCTCCAATGATGAAGTCTACATCTAACAGTAGCTTTTTCTTGATTATTGATCTGGAATCAATGGAAAAAAACATATATTTCAGTTAAATGGGTAGAAATTGTCCAAATTGCAGATTGTTGTAGGCCGAGTTTCATTCCCAAGTCAGATTCAAAATGGTGCTGCTAGATTTAGATGTGCAATATGGTTAAATTTGCAAATACAAAATCTAATACTTTTTTAAATTGTCTACATTTTTCCCATAGTCGGGTCAAAATTAGTTCAAGTAATAATCATGAAACCATAAAAGTAGTTGAGAAGCAATTAAAACGAAGTCATTTGATATTTGACAAATAAAAAACTTCGGTTTTTGTCATGAGAACTTTTTATTTCCTCAGATCTGTACTTTAAGCATTATAGAGTAAGCGAATACTTCATTCGGTAAAAATACAAGAGTAGAATATTCAATATTTATTAAAAATTGAGGTACAGTAATATGTTATTATAGTATAGTTTTTGAAAATAAAATCTTTTTTTTAGAATCTCTACTCGCATATCGATTTATTTCAACTTAAAAAAAACTCATTTTGAAGGAATAGAGTGAAGGAGTAGTATTGATTTTATTAATTTCAGTCAATATGGAAAAAAAAATTGAATTAAAAAAAAATTTGACCACAGAAATTCTATCCACCTTAAGAGAATGGACTTCCATATCTACTTAAACATCTAGGTAGATTGGTTTGGAAATTGAAATCTATGAATATTTAAACTTGGTGTAGTAGTCAGGTGCCTATCTCTACACATTACGGCTCCAGGCAAATAGATTTCGTTCCATGTATAGTTGCATGTCAACATTCGAAAGAGTCTTGAGTTCTAATATGGATGTGATGGGAACAAGATTACTATACCAAGCTTAAATATTCATAGATGTCAATTTCCTTTAATTTAACTACCTAAAATTATTCGACCCCTTTGATCATGTAAAAGTTTTAGATTTGAACAATGGATCGAATTAAAACAAGATTGAAGTGTGTTGGAACAAATGAGGATTTTAAGGAAAAATAAACTTTCATTAGTTTCTCTTTAATGATTATCAATTGACTATTGATTACTTCTAGAAGACCAGGTGCCTGTGAAAAAGATGGAAACATTTTGTCAACTTACTGTCACAGTAACACAAAAATATTTTGATTCCCAGTCCAAATTTGGCCCTTTAATAGGTTTTTCTGGGAGTTCAATAGAATTAGTTGGTACATGTATGCCAGCTTTTCTGAATGCGACTCGGATGTGCCAAGGTTCTAAAGTCCATTCAACATCCTTGTTCATCACAACTGCCAACAAGTTTGACTCGAGGTATTTGATAGTCTGTAATATTAAAATAAAACAAATAATCATTCATTAATAATATTTAAGTGTAAATCACACATTTATTAAAATTTAGAATAAATATAAATACTACTTAATACTAAAAAATAAAGAAAACGTAAAGAAATTATATTTAGATAAATGTGCTGACAGCATGGTATAGAAAGTATAATGTATTTGTATTTGAAGACAGTTCTTTTACAAAGAGATTAGGCTTTGGAAAATTATACAATATAAAATAACAAAACCAAACAAAATAAGAATGAAACAATTAAAATAACACTAAACAGGAATAATATAATTTTATTTAAATATAACTAGCTAGTGTTCAGCCAGTAGTCGAAATGCGACCATAATCATTATTGAAAATTTGATGAAAAACATTGAAGTATAAGAATTTGCGAGTTTTCAACATCTCTGTTGTTTTTTCTACTCATATATAATCCTTCATTGTATATCTGGGAACATACACTTTTGAATGTACTAACAATACAAAACAGTTCTGTATCACTTATGTACTTTTTGAGTTATTCACAAATAAAATTCTGAATCCATTAATACCTTTTTTCAGTTTCTTTTTGGGAGAGTATGTCACATAAAAATATTGTAAAAACCTTTATGTGGTTTCAAAATTTCAGAGCAGTTGGTGAAGATTTTTCAGAGAATAGAGGTTTAGAACTAACTAACTTTCCATATTTATTTATATACATTGTTTCTAAAAATTTGTATTGATTATGCTAAACTAAATAAATTAAAGTAAAATTGAGATTGTAGAATCATTGCACTAGCAAAATTTATTTTTAGGGGAAAAAACTTTACTAATACTTGTTATTGTTAATCATTTATCTAGATTGTAAAGTGATACTTGTAGTCTAGGAAAAGATTTGATATCCTGATCAACTACTTCTCAATATATGGATGAGATTGAACCAACTATATGCCTTTAACTCTTTTATTTTTAAGAAAAAGTAATTAAAATGTTGAATTTCCACTTCCCTCTAGTCTGCATATGAAGATCTATTTAAAAATCTCACTAAACCAATTTTACAACACAAATCACAATTTAAAAGAATACAAAGTAGGAATGGGAATAACTGGCTGATTAAACCAAAAATCAGTTATTTTCATTTTTGTTAAATTAATTTAGTGGTCCAGCAGTTGTTATTGTTTTATGGGTGAGTATGCCCAGACCCATGGTGTCACTGCCCTGATGCAGCAGAAGAGTATTACGGGGTGAAGCATAGATGCCAGGAATGCAATAACGATGGAATGAGACCTAGAATACTCGAAGAATCTTAGTGTGAGCACCAAATTTACTAAAACGACATCACCAGAAAAAGTCCTAAGAGTAATTCATCGAGGATTCGGAAAAGAATCCCTTAGGTATTCCATAAAGGAAGGTACTGGGGTAAGCTAGATGGCAAACCTTAACTGCTACCAGATCAGGAGAAATCCCGGCAACCACCCTGGAGGAAAATAAAATGATCTATATAGATTACACATACCCCAGGGATGATCTGACCCAGATTAGCGAAGAGGATATATGATGATACTGATACTACCAGGGATCGACTTATACCCACTATGGAATACATGGGATCTTCATCTCGTCGTGAAGATGAAGAGATTCGGTAGAGCTCCAAGGTTCGACAGAATTGATGCATACAATTCTCGGGAAAAGAGTTCCGTAAGTTGAAGAACTGTTTGAGATCCGCAACGAGTGCTTGGACAAGAGGCAGTTCCAAAGAAAGTGGAGTATTGTGAATTTGAGATTGCTCTACAAGGGAGAGAGAGGTCAGTTATCATAGAAGGCCTCTCGTATGATATGGCACCTCCCTGTTATCATCAAGGTCCTGGAGCAAATTATTGCATCTAGCCATAGACCAATCCTTATCGCTGTGAGCCATCCACGGCGATTCGGCTCAACCCGTGGCAAGGGAACCACTGATATGAATGAACGAAAATAATTCTATTATTCTGGGACTAGTGTCCCTTTAGGACAAGTTACAAATACAGAATATATATTAATATTATGGTGTGTCCATAAAATACAATCAAATATTTACAGGATGATTAGGATATGCTGTTGATGGTGCATAGGGATATGACATGTTCTTTACCTTTGACAGAGTTTAGTGGCCCTGTAACCTCCAGCAGTTGTAGGAATTTGATTCGACAGAGGATAACACACAGAGGATAAGGACAGCATCATCAGTAAGCTGCATCACAGTTTACCCCAATAAACTGTTCCCAAATCAAAATTTCCATGAATCTTGTAGAATAAGAAAAATAAAATAGTAAAGTGTTTTATTGGCAGTAGTGAGAATATGTGTATAACCCGAGGTAACCCACTTCTGCCATAATTCCATATGTCAAAAATGGTGGGTAGAGAAGAAAAAGAAAAAAAAATAGTGTTGAATGGAAAGTTCTTCGATCATTGAAACCACCATTCCCAAGCCTCAAATCACTGGTTACTCATGGGTCTTCATGTTAAGGCTTTGATCATTTCCATATTTATTAAACTAATGTCAAGCATTAATTTAATTTAAAAAATCTACATTATAAAAACATGATTAAATTGAATGATAATTATACAACTAAATGTAAAATATGTAATTGTAGACTTTTTTATCAAGAAAATTGGTATGCCAGTTATGATTGTTTTCTCTTATTAGGAAAATTGGTCTCTTAGAAAAAATAACCAAAAACCAGTTTTTTTTTTGTTTACTTAGCATCTACCCATAAGGGTCATTGGCTTAATGTTTCCATTTCATATTTGTTGATAAAAGTCAATATCTTTTAAATATTTGAGCAGTTTTCCTATTTTGTTTTCCTCATCTTGCAGAATTTCTTTCATTTCCGTTCACATTAGTAAATTTTTCCTTATATCAGTATACCTTCTACATTCTAATAATATATGCTTAACTGTTCTGGGTCCTAGGCAAGTTGGGGCTTCTAATCATCGCAGGAGGTATCCATGGGAAAACTCGCAGTGTCCGATTCTTAGGCGACATAGTATCACTTCTTCTTGTCTAGACTTTCGGTTTGATGTGTTGTTTTTGTAAAGTTATTTTGAGCAGTTATAACAGGCAGTTGAAAAAAAAATGTGAAAAAAAATAACAGAGTAACTAATAACTAGTTATTTTCCAATAACTGCCTTTTCTAATACAAAATGGAAATGAGTAAGGAAGTTTTTTTTGTAATTATTAATGCTAAATAAAAAAAAAAGTTGTGTAACCATTTACAAAAGTTTGATTTAAAAAAAACATAGTCACTATTATCCCATTGAATCAAAATTTTTATCACAAAAAAAACAAAACAAAGCCAGTAGATTTTAAGATGCCTTATTTCTATTAATTGGATCATGATATATTTTGTTGAAAACATTAAATAAAATGAAATTATTGGTAAAATAAGCAACCTGAAGAAATAAGTTGATATAACAAATTAAAGTACTGTCTAACTTACTCTTAGTGCTGATAGTGAACTATAACTTTTAGTTTTTAATAAGTCTTTTCTTTTTTGGGCTTCTTCAACTTCTTCTGGTGTAGCGTAATCTGCTAAGCCTGTTATAATATACTTTGTATAGGCTACAAATTTTTTTACATACACACATTCGCCACGTACTCCAAGGCCTAAAAGTTATACCTTTCATTACAGTCAGAGAAGGATAAGAAACTACCAAGAACAAGAAAAATCAAGCCTTCTCACCTTCAATATATTCTTTAAGTATAACTGGGATTTTTTCTTGCTTCCTAATCTCGGTATCTTCCACTAATTCATAACAAAAATCTTTTCCTTTAAGCCGAGGCCTACTGTCTTCAAAACCTTTTGGGCGCAATCTTACTGGATACTTTCTCTTCAGAATAAAAGTGTTCTGGAAAAAGAATTGAGAAACGCAAATATAACTCGAGTTTTAAAAATTTAATCTGCAATTCCTAAAAAATCACTAATGCTTTAAACATATTCATAATTCTGAAAATCATAAAATTCATACTCGTGAGGGTATAATGGTTGGAGGCCTGCATTTTTCATAATTATAATTGAAAATACAAGTTTGATTACCACAAAAGGCAAAAACATTTATTTTAAAAAGACTACGGGGCACAGAATTCATTTTTCAAAAGCATTAAATTATAAAACAAACACGGTTACATTCAGTAACGAGTGTTCAGTATCAATTTAATCGATCATAAAAATTATTTTAAATTCTTAAAGTTAACTTTCAAATTACAAAAAAATAAAATATGGTATTTGCTGGTTACTTCTATTTTTACTAATCAACTTTTAAATAATTCCAATTTCGACCAACATAATTTTATTCTGTTCCTAACACCTGATCTAATTATACCTGTTATTATTTTCAAGGTTGTCAGTGTAATAAGGAAGGTTTTGAATTTTGTGAACTTTGCCTTATTCAAAATAATTTAAGGAAATGTCTTTATCAAATATTTTGGGAAGAAGCCTTAATGTCTTAAAAAATAAAAGTTTTTGTAGTGTAATACCTGGTATGTTTGTAATAATTTTCTTATCTTAATAACTTATGGCCTAGTTTTATTATTTCATGGTTTATTGACTATAAAATATTTTTTTGGATTAAAGGTAAAACTTCTTCGTTATTGAAGTATCCTGCTGTTTCTTCTGTATCATGTCTTAACTTCCATAAAATATCAAATGAAAAACGAATTGCCCCTTCAGAACCCAAGGTAATTAAATATGTAATTTTATCTATTCTAGATGTTATCAAAAAATTGATTATAGAGGTCTCAAGTAATCATCTTTGTATGAGGCAAATTTCTTGGCATTTCTTTAGGTAAAACTGACTGATGCAGTACGACATTTTTCCATAACCCAACCTAAACTTTCTGGACATGGTGACCATTCCAAACTGTGGGTCTATGAACGATATGTGTCAGCAGCATTACTGGGTATTGTTCCTCTTGGTTTAATGATGCCGAACATACTCTTTGATCTCTTGATTGCAGTAGCCAGTGTCATGCATATGCATTGGTAATGTAAATTTGTTTTTAACTAAGTATTATAAATCTTGTCTTGACAGCATTATATTTTTTATTATAGAGTTTTTGTATTGTTTAGTACCCATTTAACACTATGTTTGAATCAATATCTGATTTAATCTTAATTTAACTCATTTAAATTAATGTATTAATTATACATAATTAACAAAGTTGTTTAAAAGTGAATAGTTGATGATGAAACTCATTTCCTCTTTTACGAAAATGGATTACCTTCTTGTTATTATCTTTCGTTCAATGATAACACATTTATCACATTGCTCAATAACCCACAATTATTCAAAAGTAGAGGTGCATTAGAATCAACCTATTAAGCCCTAAGTTAATTCACATTAAAATGATGTTTAAGAATAGTCAATAAAAACATAAAAACATATCATGGTTATCGTCTAAATCATTAAGAGCTGTTTCTGAATATTTTTGAATTCTGTAGCTTCAAACTTATTTATTATGCCTGCCAAATGAGAAAATTATACAATATCTGTTGTTGCTCAATATTTGTCATAATCATTTGAAGCAGTTGTTGTAAAGTTATAATTTTCTTTTTATTATCTACCTAATTATCAAAGGATGTAAATTTTCCGAATCATGTTGAATCATTTGTACGCAACCTTTATCTGTCCAATTGTCAGCAGATTTGGATTGATAAAATATTTAAATTAATAACATTAGTGTTAAGCTCCATCCATTGGTATCACTGTGATAATAAATTTTTAAGTCACCCAGTTGACAGTAAATCTAGCCCATATGTTTTATATATAAATTTTAACTTTTATTCCTACTAAATTATATAAGCAGCCGTTTTTATGAATAATTTTGTTTATTTTTCAGGGGTATTGAAGCTATTGTTATAGACTACATCCGCCCAATCATTTTTGGTAATTTGATATCAAAATTAGCGGTCTACTTTGTCTATCTCCTTTCAATATTTACCTTGGTTGGTCTTTTGAATCTTACTTTCAACAATTGTGGCCTTGCTAATAGCATCAAGCTTCTTTGGAGAATAAACAAACAAGAATAGAAGTAATATTTAACTCAAGAGTAATCAATATATACATAATGAAAACTTTTTTTTTTCCTTTTTCGATATTATAATATTTATTTATTTTTTCCTGTACAAATAATTTATTTAATGTGGCTGTTTTAAAATTGTTGTAAATAAAGTTGTTTTGCTTAAATACTTGAAATTAATTCTGTTTCTTCACTTTATACAATTTTTGACACATAATAATATATATTATTGTACATGCTTCAGATAGGTTTTCTGATGTTTGTTGAATGTTTAAGGTATTTAATTGCTTCACATTGAATGATGAAATATTAATATTTTAGATAGCTTCAATGTCAGTAGTAAAAAGCTTAAAATATTTTATGATAACATATCCCAATTATCACAAGGTCAATATTATTGAGTGATTAAATTTCATCAATATATTGGCTGTATAATAGTCTGTCGTACAGACCACTTTTTATGAAATTATTAAGATCCACCTGAAACTTTGTAAATAGCTTCATTTCTTCATAACCTACAAATATTTTATTTACGAAAATTCTCAGAACTGGGGCGTTTTTAATCTGGAGCTCTGCAAACTTTGTCTATTTAATTAGGCACTAAAAACTCGTAAATACCCGTTTGCTTTCCATTTTTTATTTGAGCACATAGTCGAGAAAAAAGGTGGCCTTCAAAAATATTGAGTGGGCATGATTTACAACCCCAAATTGTAAAAATATCAAGGTTATATAGGCCAAACGGCCCAATACTTTTACAGGCCACTTTTTTAATCAATTTTGTGAATGAATTATCTTATGATCCAAGTGGAAAACAAATGGGTTTTTACTAGTTTATAGTATCTAATTAAGTAGACAAAGTTTGCCTATTCACGAAGTTTCAGGATGAGGTTAATGATTTGATTAAAAGGGGTCTATAAGGGACTATAAGGGCAACATTGGATCAGTTATATCTTGACGTTAATCAAACTAATATAAATTTTTATTGAAGATCTTTCAATACTATAGAAGGGATGTCAATATTATTGCATGTGTAAGAGCTATATTGAGCAATATTAAATCATAAATTATATCTAGAAATGTAGATCTTGAAAGCGGGTGATATGATATTTTGAGGCCCCTCTTAGTTAGAGTAGGGTAATCTCATATTATATCATCAGGGTATTCTCTCATTTCCCTAATTGTTAATTTTTTCAAGCAATTGGTAATATTGTTTGCCATTTAATTGTTTTAAAGTTACTTTTTTTTTTTTGTTCCAAAATATTTTTTATACAATAAAATATTAAATAATTAGGAACAAGAAAAGATCAATTTGGAACAAGAAATGTTTAATGTCTTGGAATAAAAACTGTTTGGTACTGGACTGAAACTGTATGCTGGCAACAATTTATTTTAATAAGAATGTATTTATTTCTAATATTAATAAACTTACGATCCAAGCCTCCAATTGATGTGTAGCTGTAGTCAGTACTATTATAGATATATTTCTTTAACCGTGCCACATTCAGAGGCAAGTACATGAGCATATTGTATAACATGAGTCACAGTAATTATGATACCATGGTCCTTGTCTCACTCTGAGACGATATTATTTACACTCCTAGAATAAGTTGAGCAATGTTAGTTAATTTTTTATCGCAGGAGCGTTGTGTTTCATTATTTTCAAAGATATGTGAAGTGTTTGACACTTCAGTATTTATTGATGAAGTTTGATTTATTTATATGTATCTGATCCCTTTAAATCCATCCTGTATTTTCAGTATATCAAGGTTCCTTTGCTAATATCTTTTTTTTTCAAGGCTTATTGCCATGAATGTCTGTGTCCTGTTTAACAATAACATGGTCATCTACAATAAGTTATAAAGAAATATTAATTTTAAATGTAGGCTGTTTGGCCAATCAACAGTTAAATATAGAGAGAGATAAACACTACTTCCCTGTAAGAGCCTTTAATTTATCTGGAGCTATAAAGGATGTTAATGGTTAATTTTGTGAAATATAATTATTATATTATATAATTTTTTTTTTAAATAATAGGATATTTTAAGGTTACTGAAAAAATTAATTTATGAATTTGTTGGATAGGAGATACTTAACTGTATTTTAATTGATAAAATTGATACCATTATTCAATCTTCAAGTGTTTTATTAAAATTGTTCTAAAATCTTATTTATGTTTACACAATGAAGAAGCTGGGGGTCAGAGAAGTTAAATGTTTGCTAGAATGGTGTAATAAATTCAATGATAAGTGCTGTGAGCGTGGTCAGTAGATCAACATGATGGACAAAATGGTGCGCCATTCTCTAAAGGAGTCCATGTTAAACAATAGAAGTTTGGATTCAGATGACTTGAAAATGAGCAAAGTCGTTCGAAATGTTGCTATAACTTAAATAAATATTAAAATTAAAAGGGCCAAATTTAGGCAACAAGTAGATCCCATGAAAAAAGAAATATAATTTTATTGAAAAAAATGTACACATAAAGTAGACATACATATAAAAAATTTAAATGAAAAGGAGAAAAGGATTGATTGTGGAAACATGAAAACATGGTTTCTCGAGAAAGAATGTGTTGAAATATCTCAATGTATAATAGTATTCTTACAGTTATTTACTTTCCATTCTTCCCAGCCTATTAAGAGATGTTATGTGTGATTGTGCAACAACACAAAACGACTTGTAAAACATAGAATTTCAATATGAACTGTTTAAATTCTTGCTCTTCTTAAGTTTCAATTAATTTAATTTCTAATCTGATGTTCCAATCTCAGATAGAGAGATTATGTCTAACTTCTGGAGAAATTTGGGGAACTTTTTGTCATTTCTTGAAAGTGGCTGAAGGCTCCTCTATGCTGAAAGGCACATAAGGAGGAAGAAGAAGAATTTTTCTTGAAAAAACAATGTTCCCATTTATTATTATATAGGGAAAAGACTTTTGTTATAAAATGGGTCTAGCACTAAGTAGAATTTTGAGAAGCTATCGGACTTTATTTCAATTTTAGTTTGGTCATAGTGGTATTTCAGATATAGACAGGTATTTCATTTATGAGTACCTTTATTATTTTTTATTGTTAGTTACCATTATCGAGAGTGCATATCCTTTAATTAAGGACCTCTTTCATCCCCAATTTTATTAAAGCAATATTATAACGTACTATGTACATCAATGTTTCAATGTAATTGTTACAATTTGGCTCTCAGATTGTCAATACAAAGAAAAAATTCAATACTGACCTCCATGAGGCTCTTTTAACCTGTACCACTAACAACCCATGTAGGGCCTTGGGTTCAGTACAATGTGAGGAAGTACTGCTACAAGGCCAACCGTGCAGGGAGGTGATGAGCCAATATCATACTCAACCGTCAGGCTTTCCACTTAATTAATTATTTCATTATGAGTACCCACTTTGTAGAGGCTGGGTTTGCCCCTGGAGGGTCTCCCGGACCCAGGATCGACCTATGGCTGATGAAAAGTACTGGGACAGTCCCTCCAGAAATGAGGTGGGCGAAGCCCCTATATAACATGACAAGTTAATGTTCACTGAACATATTAATGAGAACATTAATGATGAACATATTAGGAGGACTCATCAAGTTTTGAAAATGACCCTTAGTATGGTCGAAACGTCAAATTAATGCGTAATAATAAAATGTTGGTGAAAAATGGCCTAATTTATTGTAAAAAAAAAAAAATACGTATATAGGTAGTTACCTATACCTTGGCTATTTACTGAGGAAGAGTAAGAGAAACAGATATTGAAATATTTTCGCTAAGGAGCTCTGAGAACTTTCCAAAAGTTGGCATTTTTATTTATTTATATTTATATTTTTTATGTCCTCATTAAACCACTATGGACATATGGAATCGAACTATGGGGAACAGCAAAGAAATCAAATATAAAAATCATTCAGTCATTCCAGTCAAAAGTCCTTCAGAAAATTGTAGACGTACCCTTTTACGTTTCAAATCTCACGTTACACACTGACCTTAACACTCCTTTCATCACGGCAACTGCCACTGACCGCTTTAATAATTTTCATGACAGACTGACTCTAAATTCCAATCCACTTACTCAAGCTCTATCTACTGCCACAAATCCATATAATCCGCCTAGAAGACTGCTGAGGCGGTGGCCAAGAGACTTATTGCATTGAGCTACTTGCTGCATTATCTTTTTTGTGTGTGTATTTGTTATTATGTTATAATGTATGTGTTATTTTACTACGTTTTTTTTTTTTTTTTTTTTTTTTTTTTTTCTTGTTATTCTTCTCCTTGATATCATATTTGCTGAATACTAAGGTAGATGGCAAATTTATTGTGAGCCACAAATATGTACAACTAATAAATAAATATATTTTTTATATATGTTCGTGTCAGGGATTGTCCTAATTTAACCTGTCATTTTATGCCAAATAAAGCGATCAATATGATTTCGTTTTTAAAATTTATTTTCACCAAAAATACTTTTTTTACTGACATAACTTTACTTCGTGACGTTTTACAAATTTCTTTGGAAACATACTGAATGGTATATAATAATACTCACTATACATAATTAAACAATTATTTAAAAAACTTATTTTTTTTTCGTATATCCGTTCATGTACCGTGCTCTTTATATTTCTGTTTATACCGACTGCTACACAGTTGTTTACTACGCTGTGTGAATGAGTAAAATGCTTTCTACTCGTTTATACTTACCTCGAGTACTTTTTTACCCATCTAGAAGTGTTCACTCCTCCGCTTGTTGCAATTTACAAATCTTTCCAAAAATAACATATCACACTCAAATCGATTCTCGAATCAAGATTTCTATTCTCATTTGTTCATTCAATACCAATACCATGAATAATAAAACTTCCTTAATACTTGGTTTAATTTGTTTTTTCCTCAAAACCAATTGATTTTTTCATTGAACGATGTCGTTAACAATCTCTTAAAATATGTCGAAGTTCTGAGCTAGTGATTGTCAACATCCTCTGTACGGATGAACATCTTGGACAATCCATTTTAAGGCTCCTACCAGGAACACATGTAAAGCTTCTCCCCTTGGAATAAATAAAACATCTCCTGTCGTCGGATCATACAGGCTTTTTAAAGTTTTAACATCCGGATGTTTACAAGGCCTGGAACAGATGATTTACAATATACAGACACATGAGATTGCCCCCTTCTTCG